CAATCGCGTCTTCCTCGTTCTTGAACCGGGCAATCACCACGAAAGGACCAAAGACCTCTTCCTGGTAGATGCGCATCTTGGGCGTCACATCCGTGAACACGGTCGGCTCGACGAAAAAGCCCTTGCCGTCAGCGACCTTGAATGGCTTGCCGCCGTACGCGAGGGTTGCCTTTTCGGACTGCCCGACGTTTACATACGACATAATGCGGTCGTACTGGGCCTGCGTCACTTGCGGGCCCTGGAAAGTGCTCTCTTCGAACGGATCGCCGACCTTGGAGACATTCTTGACTTGCGCCTTGAATGCAGCAAGGAACTTGTCGTAGATCTCGTCCTGGACCAGAATCCGCGACGTCGCGGTACAGATCTGGCCTTGGTTGTACATGATGCCGATGTGTGCCCATTCCACTGCTTGCTCGAGGTCCGCGTCGTTGAAAACGATCAGTGGGCTCTTACCGCCAGTCTCCAGAGTAATATTCTTCAGGTTTGAGCTGGCCATCTTCATGATGTGTTTCGCCGTCGCGGTGCTTCCCGTGAACGCGATCTTGTCAACGTCCATGTGCGACGCGAGTGCAGCACCGGCAATGCTGCCATGGCCGTTGACGATGTTCACAACACCGGGCGGGAAGCCAGCTTCCACAATCAGATTGGCCAGGAAGAGGATTGACAGCGGTGTCTGCTCGGCGGGCTTGAGCACAACAGTGTTACCGCACGCCAGCGCGGGACCGAGCTTCCAGGCTGCCATGGAGAGAGGGAAATTCCATCTAAATGGTGCGTTAGGACTATATCTCAGGTCACAAGATATCCTCTTACTTACGGGATGATTTGCCCGCAAACTCCAACCGGTTCCCTCAGAGTGTATCCGAACTTATCGGGAGTGGTCTCGATCACCTGGCCAAACACCTTGTCGGCAAAGCCAGCATAGTACCGGATGGTCTCGGAGGTCTCAGTAAGGTCATCATTCAGCGAAACCAAGTACGGCTTGCCATTGTCGATTGTCTCGATGGTCGCCAGAGTCTTCTTGTTCTCGTCGATCAACTGGCTTAGACGGGTCATCAAGCGGCCGCGCTCGGAGGCTGGGAGTTCCCTCCAGTCTGGATTGTTGAGAGCTGCGCGCGCAGCCTTGACGGCGGTGTCGACATCCTGCTCCGAAGCCGCATAGACCGAGGTGATCTCCTTGGCTGTTCTGCGATTTGGGTTGTCAGATTTGGAGATCGCATATACATGCAGAGAGAACATACGAAGGGTTGATGCTAGTAATCTTCTCGCCATTCGACGACTTCACCCACTGGTTGTTAATGAACAGACCCGTGGGCTGCGACCAGGTGTGGCCGTTGGGCGCCGTGAGCTGAACTGTCAATCCGGACATGATGTGAAATGCGCTAGAACAGAAGGTCTTTGTCACGAAGGATGGGATGGCAAAAGCAAACGCTGCAAGACCGCAAGTTATTAAAGTCAGCCGTTGGAAATGTTGAAGCTACATCATTGCTATCGCACCCGGTGTCGGCTGGACATGCCATTTCGGGGCAACCGGGTCAGAGGTCCATCTGCAGCAGATTTAGGCTGGAAAGACAGCTCCACACTGAATCCACTTGGCATGGAGTACTCCAGATTGAGAGCGGGACTCAAGACACGATGAGTTTCGGGGCGGAGGAGCAAATCACGGTGATTCGAAAAGAGCCCTAAGAGGCCAAACCTAAAGAGGCAAGTCCAGCCCCGTCCGTGCTCGCTTGGACTTCTCAGAGTGTACACTGACAGCTAATAAGCCGACAGATAGGAACAAAACGCCAGATCACAGATGGCCGATGCCTCCAGCCCTCACGCAAATTTGCAAATGCTTCTCTCTACACGACAAGCAACAAAATCCGTGACACTCAAAATGGGCCGTGGCAAAGGGACACCGCATTCCCCACCGGTCACGTGCCACCCCACATGAAATAAGCTTGAATTGCATTGCCATACTTAGCACTATAGAGGAATGTCAGTTATTGCCGGAGTCGGGCAGGTCCTTGCTGGTCGTCGCGGGGCACGGGACTGCCCTGAGCAGCCCGGGGATGGTCCGTGACCCTCCCGTGGCCTGGGGAATCGGAGAAGGAGTTTTACGTGATTGGTGCGCATAGCTACTGCCGGGGAAAGCCCCTGCAGAAAAAATGCATGGGTGGAATCGAAAAGGGCATGTTGACACGCCCCGGAAAAAACGTGTACGTAAAGGGTCCATCCGTGTTTTTGCGCAGCATCCCGAACCGAGAAGACCCAATCCCGAGTCTGGCGAGGCCGTAGATTCCAAGATCCCGATTGCCCAATGCGGCAGGTCTATGCGAGTCGCAAAAAAGATTAGATCCGTCGTCCCCGGGGTATATAAGGCTTCGCTCGGACGATGAGGGATTGCCACAGTCTCTCAAACCTCTCCACGGGTTACCTCTCTGTCGCCTTTTCTTGTTCACTCTCTCACTTGGCAATCAGTCCATCATGGCTCCCGATACCACGTCCATCCCCGGCTATACCATCTTCCGGGAGGGGGACTATGACAGCGTTGCAGCCACGGCGATGCTGCCGCAGGGCACTCCGCACCCTCTCGGTAAGAGAGATCGCACTCCAGTTTAACCAGAGTGCAATATGCTGATTTTAGGAAACAGATCAATTATCCATCAAGGAAATCCCCGAGGTCGCCAAGCTAGTCCGCGAGTACGCCAGTCCTAAAACCGTCAAATTCAACTGCATCACTCTGCGCGAGCCCCGCAAGAATGAGTACATTGCTTTCCGCTCGGGGACTGCTCCGATCCCGGACCGCCGGGGTTTTGCGATCGTCATCGTGCGCGAGACGCAACAGGTTGCCGAGGTGCTGGTCAACCTCAAGACTGGCAAGGTCGAAAGCTGGAAAGAAGTCAACGAGGTGATGCCCACCCTGACCCTTGAGGATCTGGATGTCATGGAGCGCATTTCGCGCGCGGATTCCCGTGTTATCCGCGCTTGCAACGAGCTCGGCATCACCGATATGTCCAAGGTGTTCATCGACGCATGGGCCATCGGTATCGACGAGCGCTGGGGCTTCGATCGCCGTCTGCAGCAGGGTCTGGTCTATTACCGTACCTCCGAGTTCGACAACCAGTACGCCCACCCGCTAGACTTCAGCATTGTCGCCGACACAGAGCGCGAGGAGGTGCTCAGCGTTGACGTCCGCACTGTCAACGGCGAGCGCACTGCCGTCCCGCTCAAGGAGCACAACTATCTCCCCGAATTCATTGGTGATGGCTATAAGCACGACCGGCTCAAGCCCATCGACATCACCCAGCCGCAGGGTGTCTCCTTCAAGCTGCGTGGCAACGAGATCTCCTGGGCCGGCTTCAAGATGCACATCGGCTTCAACTACCGCGAGGGTATCGTCATTTCCGACGTTCGGACCCACGACATGTACGAGGACCGCGAACGTACACTTTTCAACCGTATCAGTGTCGTCGAGATGGTCGTTCCCTACGGTTGCCCCGAGAAACCTCACCACAAGAAGCACGCTTTTGACGTCGGCGAGTACGGTACTGGTCTGATGACCAACTCGCTGAAGCTGGGTTGTGATTGCAAGGGCGCTATTCACTACATGGACGGTGTCATGTCGACCGGCAACGGTGAAGCTGCCGTGATCAAGAATGCCATCTGCATCCACGAGGAGGACAATGGTCTGCTCTACAAGCACACTGATTACCGTGACGGCACCGTTGTATCTGCCCGTGACCGCAAGCTCATCATCTCGCAAATCATCACCGCCGCCAACTACGAGTACGGCTTCTACCACACCTTCACCCTCGACGGCACCTACAAGCTCGAGATGAAGCTGACCGGCATGCTTAACACCTACTGCATGCACCCCACCGAGACCGCTGCCCCGTACGGCACTGAGGTTGCGCCTCAAATCAACGCCCACAACCACCAGCACCTCTTCTCCCTGCGTATCGACCCTGAGATCGACGGCCCCAACAACTCCGTCGTGCAAAGCGACGCCGTCTCCTCCGAGTACGCCGTCGGGTCCCCCGAGAACCCGTACGGGAACGCCTTCTACAGCAAGAAGACGCCCCTCCGCACCTCGCTCGAGGGCGCCGCCGACTACTGCTTTGAGACCAACCGGTCCTGGGACATCATCAACCCCAACCGGATGAACGCAATCGCCAAGAAGCCCATTGGCTACAAGATCCTGAACAACAACTGCCCCCCCTTGCTGGCGAAGCCAGGCAGCACGGTGTGGAAGCGCGCCGGCTTCGCGCGCAAGCCTCTGTGGGTTCTCCCCTACAAGGACGACGAGCTGTTCCCTGCCGGCGACTACGTGTGCCAGTCAACCGGCGAGGAGAACCACCCGCACAACCCGACGATCGTCGACTGGGCCAACCGCAACGAGAACATCGAGAACACCGATATTGTCTGCTACCTCCAGTTCGGGCTCACGCACTTCCCGCGCACGGAGGACTTCCCCGTCATGCCTGCCGAGCCCGTTAGCATCATGCTCCGCGCATCGAATTTCTTCGAGAAGAACCCCGGTCTCTGGGTGCCGCCGTCCGCTATCTGTGTTGATACCCAGTCGCGGAATGCGTTCTCAAGTTCGTGCTGTGCGGCTAATACGCCGGCTAGCGTCTCGAGACTGTAAAAAAGAGAAAGGATATGAATGAGTGAACGCTGAATGAACCGGGCCTAGCGTGGCCCGTGTGTATCCGCGAGTGATCATGTGTATATAGCCATCTTAGTTCTTATTTTTGAAAATAGATCACGAATTTTGCATGTTACTGGGTCCAATTGTAGAGTTACCTCGGTCACGTTCTGGGCTGTCTCCATAACGGAGGCGGGGTACTGAAGCTCAAGTTCCACATGGTCCGCAACGGAATTGCCAGTCCCACCGCACATTATTTCCCAGGATCATATAAGAAAGGAGCCTCCTAACTGATTTCCTTCGGGGAAGCCGTTATATCCTCAACTTTCATTCCATAGAGTACAGTCAGCAAACTTCTCCGCAGCTCCCCAACATGACCATGTTGTCAACTGCAGCGCTCGATGCGCTGAAAACCAAGCTCGAAGCCGCCTGCAGCGACCCCGAAAAGGGCCTGCCAGGCGCTTCAGTTGCAGTTGTTGGAAAGGATGGCCGCCAATTATTTTCTCATGCCGCGGGGCAGCGAGGCTTGCGAGCCTCCGAAACCATGGATCAGGACACCGTCTTTTGGATCGCCTCATGCACCAAACTCATTACCGCCATTGCATGCATGCAACTGGTTGAGCAGGGCCGGCTTCCTCTAGATGATCCGGATTCCATTGAGCGTATCTGTCCTGAGTTGAAGGATGTTCAGGTCTTAAGGGATGATGGCACCTTGGAGGAGAAGGAGGATCGCATCACGCTGAGGATGCTATTGAGCCATACTGGTTCGGAATCACACTAGCCTCTCAGCCAGGGCAGGAAATATTGACTGACATCATCACAGCGGGCTTTGGATATTCATTCCTTAAAGAAAAGCTAATGAACTATGCTCGCCCAGTTGGGTTTGACGAGTTCTCGGGAAGCATTGCGGATTTCAAGCAGCCGCTGGTTCACCAGCCAGGAAAGGCGTGGGAGTATGGGGTAAGAAAGCTCTCACTGGTAGCTCACAAATGGCGAGAAGTGTACCTGACATGCATTTGTGCAGGTCAATATCGACTGGGTGGGCATTATCATCGAGCGCACAACGGGGCAATCCCTAAACGAGTATTTTCATCAACACATCTTCGAGCCCTTGGGCCTCAACTACATCTCGATGATTCCGACTGCAGAAATGAAAAGTAATCTTGCTTATATACACCAGCGAGACAAGTCTGGTCACCTCTCTGTCCGCGATCACCCGCTCCACCTACCTCTCGTATCCGATGAGAACGACGCCAAATCATTTTGCCACTCCGGCGGCGCAGGATGTTTCTCAAAGCCTGCAGACTACTGCCGTAAGAGACTATCCCGAAATTCCCTTAATATCATTCTTCTCTTACTTACAATATGAAACCAGAAATCCTCGCCGTCCTCCTCAACGACGGCACTTCCCCAACTACGGGGAAACAACTCCTCCAGAAGAGCACAGTGAACGAGATGTTCCGCAACCAAATCGCGCATCTCCCCCCGCTCACCGAGAAACCATTTCCCGATGCCAAACCAGAGCTTACCAACCCCAGCGTCGGTGTTTATCCCACTGTGGAAGGGGATCGCCAAGGATGGGGTCTCTCATTTTTGATCAGTGGCGGGAACACGGGTCGTTCGTTGAGCACTGCGCACTGGACTGGATTGCCAAATATGTTCTGGTGGTGTGATCGGGAACAGGGTGTTGCAGGAATCGTTTGTACCCAAATCTTGCCGTTTGGTGACCGTCACTCTTTTAAACTGTGGTTGGATGTGGAAACGGAGGTTTATAAGGGCATTGGGAGAGGTAAGTTGTGAGATCTAGGCCCATAAATAGAGGGGTAATGGTTAATACCTCATCGTATAACTACTGGTGGAGTATGTGGAAGATGTAAACATTTACTTAGAGCGTAGTTTTGGTGGTTGAGTATCTAGAAAGGGAAGAATGAGATCTTTAGGTTAGGAACAGGCGCAAACCTCCTCTTCTGCTTTCTGTTTCGTTAACCACTACAACTGTAGGTGCGGCCTCACAATATCATGCTTATTACTATCACGAGGGACAGGGTCACTCGATAATAGAGGGGTAGTCAGATATTATCTAGAGCTAGATGAAGCAATAACTTGCATTCCCGTTATTCATATATACATTTCATTTGCAAAGTAGCTAGATATAAAGTGTCGCACCTGTGCAGATGCCTATAGCCTGTGGGGCTGGTTGGTTCTTCCATGTCGTAGCAAGACCTCGGCTTCTTGCATTTGCCTCTTCAGGACAGGATTTGTATCTCTGCTCCATAACGCCCGTCTTCCCAAAGCCTCAATGCTATGGTGGTGTGGCGTGTACTTACATGGTGTTCTACCCCGTCACGTCACTTATCGCGATAGCTTCATGTGGCGGTTCACGTCCTTATAGAGCAGGTAGCGGAACTTGCCAGGACCACCCGCGTAACAGGCCTGCGGGCAGAAGGCGCGCAACCACATGAAGTCGCCTGCCTCCACCTCCACCCAGTCCTGGTTGAGCCGGTACACGGCTTTCCCTTCCAGCACGTAAAGTCCGTGCTCCATAACGTGGGTTTCCGCGAAGGGGATGACACCGCCCGGCTCAAAGGTCACGATGGTGACATGCATATCGTGACGGAGATCGGTCGGGTCCACGAAGCGTGTGGTGGCCCACGCACCGTTAGTATCCGGCATCACGGTGGGCGCGATATCCTTCTCGTTGAGGAACAGCGGCTCGGGCATATCGAGCCCTTCCACGACCTCATAAGCCTTGCGCACCCAATGGAACCGAGCGGTCGCCGCGCCCGCGTTGCGCAGGGTCCAGCCGCTTTTCGGCGGCAGAAAGGCATAGCCGCCCTCGACGAGCGTGTGCGTTGCGCCTGCAACGGTAATGGTCACTTCGCCTTCGACGACGAACAGCACACCCTCCGCTCCGTCGTCGAGTTCGGCGCGGTCACTCCCACCTCCCGGCTGCACTTCCATGATGTATTGCGAAAAGGTTTCGGCGAAGCCTGATAGCGGACGCGCAATCACCCACAACCGCGTCTTCTCCCAAAAGGGCAGGAAGCTCGTCACGATGTCGCTGAATGTCCCCTTCGGGATGACAGCGTAGGCTTCGGTGAACATGGCGCGGTCGGTGAGAAGCTGTGTCTGGGGCGGCAAGCCGCCCGTTGGCGCATAGTAGGCACCGATTTTCTTGTCGTTGCCCATGGTGGGGGATCCTTCGGTGGAAATGTGTAGGTATCAAGGTGGGTAGGCAGCCCCTCTAATATCGGTGGGACGATGCTTGAACAGAGGACACGGCGAATGTCAGAGAGCTGAGCGGCGTGTAGAAGTCGAATTGAGCATATGCGTTGCTATCGAGAAGGGATCAGAAGCCTTGTCGCACATTAAATGCAAATTGGCCCTGATTGTCCGGTCCACAGGGAAATTCCGGCGTTGGCCGATTGCCCGGGTCAGGCCGACGGCCCCAGCCGTGGCGGTGTTTAGTTTGTGCCTTGGTGCCTGATTTATGGTTGGTGGGGGTAGGTGGGGATATGTTGAGAGTAGAGATGCCGCGCCGACAAAGGATGATCACTAGTTATTAAAGCGGCGCTGGATCTCTGATATATTCCAATATCGTCCATTGTTCACTGACTCTAGCCGTAGAAACCGCCGGGCCTGGTGGTCATATTGTCTAAACTAAGTATAGTATCCTACCAGACTCGGTACAAACAACTGAGCTTTTGACCTGCTAATCCAATAACGAATTCCGCCTATCTGGAAACGCAGTTCTTGTCAAATAACTGAAGATGATCTAACTGCAAATGCTGAGGATATCGACTGAGCGACTACGGATATTATTTATTCAACACTTTCACCTCGGCCTCGGCCCCGCAAACAGAATGCGGAGAACAGCCACTATTCTACACCAGTAATGGCAACGGAACAGTCCTCGCCGAGCACTCCAATTCCGTCCCTGCTGTATAATTCCTGGACGTCGCCCCGCTTTCTTTCGACGGACATATTCTTGATCAACATAGTTTGGTCATTACTTTCCTCTTGAGCTACGATACAGGTTTAAGCTAATAAACATGGTGCTACAACTCAGCGGCTCGGCATTCATCACCGGCGCTGGAGGTGGTAGGTCTCTCCGTCCAACGTGCTACACACACAAACAAAACATAAGAATAAGATAACTGACACTATGGGATCCAGGAATCGGCCAAAGCGTCGTTCTCGCCTTCGCGCGCTACGGGGTCAGCAAACTAGCCCTCGTAGACGTGAATCCCGACCACCTAGAGGATACACGGAAGCTGCTGAATTCACAATACCCCCACGTCGAGACGACTCTATTACCGGTCGACGTCTCAGACGAGCCATCCGTTCAAAACGCGATCGAGAATGTCGCTAAGGAATTCAAAAGAATCGACTACGCCGTCAACTGTGCTGGTATCGGTGGGCATCATGCCCCGACGCACGAGATGCCCTTGAGGGAGTGGCAACGCGTTATTGAAGTTAATCAGACGGGTGTGTGGCTTTGTCAGAAGTATCTTGTTTTGCAGATGTTGGAGCAGGAGTATGTACTCTCCTCTCTCTCTCTCTCTCTCTCTCTCTCTCTCTGTGTGTGTGTGTGTCTATTTTCTTTCCTCTGTGGCGGTTCGTGTCTGCGAGATGCTTGTTTTGCTAATTTTGGATAAACAGGTCTCGTGGGGTTCGTGAAGGTCGTGGTGTGATAGTTAATGTATCATCCATGTATGGACGGGTTGCTCCCCCAGCGGCCGCCGGCATTGCGCCGTATACGGCAGCGAAGCATGGTGAGTTTTTCTTTTGAATTGATTCAAAGCAGATCAACGATAGCTGACGAGTGAAAATCAAGCCGTAATGGGATTAACGAAGACGGTACGCGCGCAGATTCTGTCTCACTTCACGCTCAAAGTAATAACTGATGACTTTTATAGGACGCGAGGCTATATGCTCCTATGGGCATCAGAATCAATGCAATTTGTCCTGGGTGTGTTGAACTTTCTTTCCACTCCCAACCTGTAGAGTAACTAACAGTATTAATAACAGTTACGTCGACACCCCTCTCATTCAAGGACGCATAGAATCTGGTGTCATGGAGGAAGAATTCCGAAGAACTCCAGCCGGAAGACCTGCTATGACCGAAGAGATATCAGATGCAATTGTGTTTCTCTCGTCGCCGATGGCAAGTTTTATGCATGGAGTTGGGTTGGCTGTGGATGGGGGTTATACACTTTAGGTAGTCAAGTCATATGTACCATTCAATTAACTAGATCCAAGAAGTTATTTACCGCTGGAAAGATATGCCATATGTATACGTCGAATTCAGGTCCTTCATTCTCCAGGATCGTGCAGCACTATGTTGTGCCACCCACTTTGTCTTCTCCAGGTGGCCCTCCTTCCCCATCTACGGCCCCGGTGCCAGTTAGGAAGAAATCCAACTCGCTGGGCCCGCCTTGTGAGTGTTCGTTTTCTGCTAACTGTTCTAGCAAGCTCAGGAACGGGTCTTTCTCAAGAGAGCCGGTTTCGCTGCCCCCGGTATGGGATCCACTGGTTTGTGATTGGCCTCCTGGTGTTGCAGCCGTAGCTCCTCCAGCGGCGTTCTGTGCACCGCCCATGTTGGCGTGCGGTGTGTCGAATGGGAATATGGCATATTGTGGGTTTGGGGGTGGCGTGGGTGCGATATTTAGTGACGTGTCGGAGAGGAAGGCTGGGGGCGAGAGACCGAAGGCAGAGGGGGAAAAACCGTTCGGGAGGGAGAGATGAGTGTTATCTGCTGAGCCACTTGGATTACCGGAACCTTGTGATAAATCTGTTCCGGACATTGGGAAGATGGATGGAAGGGTCGGGGATGGTTGGTGTGGATTGTTGGGTGGCGGGTGGAAGTGGAATGTTGGGGAGAGAGCTGTCGTGTGGGCAGGTTTGTTGGTCAGGGAATGAGAGTGGGAATTGCGACGATCAGAGTCTAGAGTCTGTGCGGAGGGTAATTGTGATGTATGACCTGATCGCGTAGTCGAATAGAAGCTCGACGGGCTTTGATACGAAGGTGCATTCATCTGCCGTTGGTAGTAGTGGTCTTGTCGGTCCACAAGGTTCGTAGCACTGTCATGAAGTTAGTTACTGCGCAAAATGAAATATGAAGAAATAAATACCTGGTTGCCGATTCATCTCCCATGTCAACTAACCGGACATGTGCCCCGTCCACGGCTAATCCCGGGTATCGGTCGAGGAAATCTTCCAGATGGAAAACTGGAGAAAACCGCATGGGGCTGCTAGCAAGCGTACGCACCAGCTCAGCATGGCAGGTATAAATAGTTTGAAGCAGCTCCCGCTGATGCTGTACACCGGCCCACGAATTGCGTAGCCATGTGAGCTGGTGCATCTCACGAGTCAAGAATTCGCCGCTTGACGAAAATACTTCTCCTTCACGACCCTTGTAGTGTACGCCGTGGACATGAACAGTGCCCGCGGTGCATATACAGTACCCAACGAAGGAGGGCCATTCGACAAGAGAGGAATTGCGGCCGAGCTCCACCAGTTCCGCAATGGCATTGGAATGTGAGAAGCAGAGGTTGGTAGCTTCAATCTGCCATGACTGGTGTTGCCCGGTGCCACGCAGTTCAACCAGGTCAATAGGCAGGAACGGTCGATAAATCAGGCAATGCACCAGGTGGTAGATCAGCTTGCTTAGCAGGAGCGTGGTACTTTCCGGGTGACCAAACAGTACATCGATAGATGCAAAAACATCCTGTGTGCCGGCAGCCCATATATCTAGCTCCTGCCTAATCTTAGACAAGGTCGACAATGCGTGCCAAGGAAAATGCGAGTCGCCTTTGACGCCACCGGCGGCCAGATATCGGTTAGTGACACCGAGGATGCGAGTGATATCAATCAACAAGGATGCTGCGCTGGGTGATTTACGGCGCGAATCCGCTGAGTACTGTATGTTCGGTCCTACGTGAAATAGCTCGCCTTCCATGTTCAGACCGGTCGCATGTGGGGACCAAGACGGGAGACGCAGCACGATCGAATGGTCTGAGATGAGACTAGGGCGTCGGGATCCGCAGGTAATGAAGCGGTCCATCAGGTATACCGCCCAAAAGAGTCTGCGGCGCGTTTCACGCTCCGCGGGTGAAAGGTTGGCCTTGGTCGGCACTTCCCGAAACAGGTCCAGTGCAACGATCATGGCCACACAATTTGCTAGATACTGTTAGAATTGACAAGAAGGATATCAAGATGTAAGCGTACAGAATGTCATGTAGGCCTTCTTTCCCAAGCCATGCGCAAAGAAGACCTGGGACAAGAGGAGAAGAGCTTGCAAGCCGTCGAGCGTGGGGTTGTCAACATCCACTGCACGTCGCGCCTGTAGCGCCGCATCGAGTGACGCGTTCAGTGACTGCTCCGACTGGCCAGCGGAGCTGGTATACCTGCTGGTCATCAGTAACCATATCATCGAACGGTCATGATCCGCTCAATTTACCTCAGCGTCATGGCAGCAATTGCCGTAGACAAGTACGGAGGTAGTTGGCCTAATTGATAGCGCTTCCGTGTTGTCGACTCATCTAGAATATGAAATGGCTTTCCATGGAGCCGAGCAAAATAAGTATCCAAGATCGCGTCAGACAGGATCCCAAGTTGGGGAGATGGTTGCTGGTGGAAGCTGGAAGATCGATGGGCAGATGGCCGAGCAAATGGTTCTGGGTGGTGAGTGAGAGGAGTAGGTAAAGTCGGTCGTGAGTCCCCATGCGGGTAAAATTGAACGGAGGTGTCGATGGAGGGGCCGGGACCGGAGGCGTGAGGTGGCGGCTCATCCTTTGCATCCGGGGAGGTGGGAGATATCGGATTTTTCTCGTCTTGTAGTCGCTTTTCTAAGCCGTCGACTCGCTTGAGAAGAGCTTCTAGCACGTCCGTCTTGGGGCCGCGCTTCTTGGGGACGGCATCTGGGGTCGGCGGGATCAGAATTGGGAGGAATCCGCAGGACAGCACAACGGGTGAACTCACCGTAGACACACGAGCACTGGAATACCTTGCAGGCCTCACAGCTTGGTCGCAAGCGATTACATTTGATCTGGGGGAAGGGATCAGCGGAGATTCGCGATCGGGACAGATGCGACCGACCTTTCTCTTGCGACAGGATTTGCAGTTCATAGCCTCGCGCGGCTCGACGGTCACCCGGCGGGGCGTGAGGCGGTCGATGCTGACCTGTGGACGAGACATGGTGAACCGAACGACATCGACAGAAGAGAGAAAAGGCAGAAAGGGTGGAAGGAAGGAGAGGAGGAGGAATAAGGCCCCGGGGGTTGTGGCTTGTTCTCTGTCCGGTCTGGAGATGTGGAGCCGGGAGAAAAGTGGGAATGCGGAGAAAGCAGCCTGTGTCTGTTTTTCTTTGCTTTCTTTTCTTCGCTACTAACTAGTTAACCAGTTCTGAATTTGGCTGTCAATAACTAAAAGACAAAACTGCTTCTAGCAGTACGGGGCTCAATTATCCGATGGTTTTTGTCCTTATCCAAGGCCTTGAATATCCCTCATTCAACCCGGGAGTTTTCCTGTTCGGTGTTAGGGTTTCGCACCCATGCTCCGAGGCATGACTGGCTCAAACACTCGGTCGCTTTCCCCTGTTCATCACGGCCCAACCGCCCGCAGACAATGCTAAGGCCGTATGTAACTAGTCGGCCCCGCATTTTGTCTGCGTCTTCGTGAGGACTTCTAGGCTCGACAGAGAGAAGCAGGAAGAAAATTTAAGCGCCAGCCTAGATCGACGATCTTTCTATTTTCGAGACGGAGATACGTCTGGAATACGAGTCTCAGGAGGAGAACAGTGGCTGGACCAAAGGGCTTAAACAAGCATGCGGGTGGATTCTTCTGCAATTCCTACGTTTTTCCAACCGAGGCCTGGACTAACAACCAGAGCTTGGACATGAATGTATCAGATATATTCTATTATCTTACAGGAAATACATAGACAAGTCCAAATCAACTTATTTCTGGGGAGATATAACTTCTCCCTTCTTCACAAAACCAGCCATCTCCCGGGCCCGTTGACTATCTATCGCCTCTAGACCCTCGACGACCCCGGCGCGGTCATGAACAGGGCGTTCCTGACTAACCTTAAACCGGCCTTCAATGCGAGTAATCTCAATGCGCATGCCAACAATATTCTTCTTCAGCAAGGCAATATACCGTTCCGGCGCATCGCCGATTTTCCACGGCTGTGGCGTCGTCTGCGCATCCTTCTGGTACCCCATGACACCCTCCTCGCCCAACCGCGCTAGATCCGACAGTTGCTGGTGCAGAAAGGCGCCTGTTGCCTCGTCCTTTGAGTCGTGGTAGATTGTGGCGCGGCCATAGACCTGCACGGCGGCGTAATTCCATGTCGGAGCCACTTTGCCTGTCGCGGGTTTCGATTCTGTGTAGAAATGCGGCGTTATGTAGTGGTCCACGGGGCTGGTGAAGATGATCAACACCTCGCCGGGGAGCGTATGTTTCGTTGATGATTCTGTCACGGCTTCTACTATCGCTTTACTCTGCGGGTTCTGTCGCGCGATGTGGCCGCGGAGTACGCCGAGAAATGGTGTGTCGCTAGAATTGGATGAATCTGTTGATTCTGTGGTGTTGTCCGAGTCAACGATCCATGGGATATGACTGCACTGCAGCGTCGGGTATTTTTCCGAGGGGAGCGACGTGGTCAGTACGCCTAGAGGGTGGGCGCGGATGAACGCATGCAGCGTTGGAAGGTCCCGCACGGTGTGATCCGGCCGAAGATGCATTTCTGTGTCAATTGCTTTCGGTTTCGAGACTCTATGCTCAGTTATAGGGCGGAAGTAATAATATGAAAAGTGAGAGCAGCGTGAGGGGTGACCCCGGATTTGCTGATAAGCGTTATCTATAGTTACTTATCCTCGGCAGGTACTGCTCTACGGCAGTTGAGAGCGGGAGCCATGATAGCTTCGAATACAGCAGGCAAGCAATCATCTTAATTGAATAAAGCTACTGAAAAAGCAGTACCAACATCGTCTCCCTGGTTCAATATTCCCCTTCCTCAGCAAAATCACCATCTGAATCCACGTGTTCCCAGCCAACCGAGGGATCATATCGCTCCGCCTCGCTAACTGCTGAAGTCCAAATTTCGCTCTCTGACTGGCTCTCTTCGTTCAACATCTCTGTGCATTGCACAAACTTTTTGACACACTCAAAAGCGCGAGCGACTAATAGACGCATGTCCTGATCATCCCCAACTTGCCAAGAAAGCTCTTCTAGCACGCGGACCAGACTACCTCGATTGTTGAATCCGGACAGGGAAAGCGATTTGCAAGCATCGGCCAGCTTCACACAATCGTCATAGGTCGTTTTATCCACGGAGTCGGTAAAGTTGCAATCGAGAATGAGGTTGAATATCTCGAAGGGCGTGAGGCAATCCTTCCATGCTGATGGCATGTCCACATCAACATCAATACCAACCGATCTCAGAATCCTGTTCATTGTATCAAAAGCCATGGCTCCAAATAGACGGCTTTTACTGCCATCAACTTTGCCATTATGAGGTGCAATTATCTCCAAAAGGGGTTTCAGGACCTCAATGCGCTCCGGGGAGGCGGAAGACCTAGCATCATCTACCTCTACCTTTAAATCATAGCTACTTCCTGCAGTATCTTCCATATTATTATCAAACTTGTCGAGGTGATCGGAAATCTTTCGTAAAGTCGGATTCAGGGCCGCAATGCAGTGTGCGGAGGCGGAAGACCCAGCGTCATCTAACTTTGTCTGTAAGTTACTGATAATTGTTGTAGTAACTTTCAGCTTTCCTTCAAGCTCGTCGACACGGTCGGAAATCATTTGGAAATTTTGCTTCAGGGCCGCAACGCACTGCGAGGAGCCCGAAGACCCAGCGCCATTCACCTTTGCCTTGAATTCTTTGATCATTTCCGCGGTTTCCTTCGTCCTCTCTTCATGCTTGCCAAAACGAGGTTGGGGCTCAATAAGAGAGCAGGTATCCTCGAGCAAACTGGGGATAGACTCGACTCTTAGGTCGTCGATTTCATTTTTCAAGTTGGCAAATTCAGTGCAACCAGATCCACTAGCGATTTGGGCGGTAGGTTTGAATGGAGATTCTGATTGACTCGCCTGAGATTTGGGGGAAACATCGCTTCTGGAGCGGCGGGGCGCCCATCGTTGTTCTTTCAAGCGGCGGATGGATTGCGGTATCTCTGGTTTTATCCTTACCATATCAACAAAATACTCTTTGCCATGTCTGCGACACTGCAACTTCGGAAATGTTTCGATAACCCAGTCCACAGTCGGGGCACTATGGGTCTCGATAAATCCGTTCCCTGTGGACTGAAAATATCGGGGAGCTGTGCCCTTTCCCCACATCTGCCAACACGTATCATTCGCATAGTCCTCCTGGACTCCTTGCGCTGGAGACGAATTTACTTCATTCTTCAAAGCCCATTCCACAAAATTCACAAGCAATCTGAAAGCACTAGCGTTGCTGCATGGAGTAAAGGTGTCGACCTCGTCGCAACAAAATACTCGATCGGGTTGGGCTGGCATGCTGTTCAATTTCGAAATCGGAAAGAGAGATGAGTAGCTGATAAGTTTTCTGTAAACAGTTGATCGTGATCTGAACTTTTACTTGTAGAAGTTATAAATCTTGTGTTTCCTGTCGAGAAAACATATAAGGAGTTTTGATGGTACTAGTACAGTTTTGATATTGAGCTAGTCATAATTTGATCATTGGGTCAAGTTCACCTCATGGCACCTGACACTCCATACCTTGATACAGTATAGGAAGCCGATCCCTCAAGAGTCAGCAAGTAGTAGCAGTTCTATGATGCCTTTATCAAGAATAAAGTATTTCATCAAAATTAGCCTAGCTGAGCGAATACATAGGGCGAATGCATAGGGGTTCAAAAGTCTGTTGGAGATATCTATGTTTCCCTTCACCCACTACAATCATCAACCACACGTAGCTTCATCACCATGCGGTCTTGTAGTCCAGACTTATATACGAACAGACGAACTCATCCTGTCATTCATGTCTTTGTTATTCTTCCAAGTACAGCTACGAAAGCTTTCTATCATGCTCCACATCCCAGCAGCCTTTCTTGTTGGCAGTCAATCCCTCAATCACAGCTGCAAGCATAACTCCGTGTTGTTCAACCAGGAATTGCAGAGGAAAGTCAAACCAGCATGGCCATCCTCATTTTATATGGAGGTTTAGTCTATGAGGGTTGGGACCGTCAACTCACACGACAATTTTGTAGCGTAATGTCTCTTCCCTTGATATGGACGCGATAGTCTGTGAAGTATATAATCCCGGGACATATAATTGGGTAGATTACACCTCAGCAAATTCCCATTAGCGCCTTGGCAAAATTTGCGAATATTCGCAACTCGTATTCGAAATAGGCAGAAAGTTGAATAAGAACATTCGTAGGGTCTTGCAAGTTACGAGTGCGAATGCTTATAACACAACAGCTTACGGATCTGCATTCGTGTCCAGGCTCTAGGTATATGTACTAATCTTTTCACTCTTATCTGATAGTATATAGAGCGACCTCTGCTTTCGAATCGGGATAATGCCGGCTCCCTATCGCAAGGCCTGTGTACACTGCGCAAGAGCAAAGCGGCGGTGCGATCTGAGTTTTCCCCGCTGCTACCGCTGCAAAGTCCGATCTTTGGAATGCCAATATCCGACTGCAGTTCCCCCAAGGGACTTGACCTCAGCGGCGGTCTCCGGGCACGCTGGAAGGATCGTCAGCCATGGTGAGCCCGCAGCATCCGCGGAGCGCGATGTTCTGAATCCAGTGGATACAGAATACCACCTCGCCGACCTGCACATGGACGTCTCGGAGTCCCTGGCGCCGTTCCCGGATTACGAGCTCGACTGGGCCGATGTGATGGAAAACATCGACCGTTTTCTCGTGCCAGACCAGGTTGAACGGAATGACTCGCCCGCGAAGTCCGCCATGGCGGGTAACATCTATCAGGAACGGATCGTGTACTCTGTCAAGCGGATCAAATCATATCCGAGCCTCTTTGTCCGCCGGGGTCAGACTCCGTTTATCCATTCGAGTTTGTGCAGGGACACGCTGCCTCGGGCGATCCAGGATGTTCTTGGAGCTTGTGCGCTGTACGGAGAGAAGCGCGAGACGAATCAACCACTGGTGTTTGGTGTCATCAGCGCCGCTGCCAATCGTCTTCTCAACGATTATCCCCTGGTGGGCCTGGCCGCGATGGAGCAGCTGGCGGCGGTGCAAGCCTTGGTTCTGTACCAGATCATTCGATTGTTCGATGGAGACATCCGGCAACGAGCCGATGCGGAACGCGCCAACCCAACGCTCCAGGACTGGACCCGCCAGCTCCAGGGTCGCATGCAGCGAATTGGGGATCCCTCATCATCAGCGGAGAGCAGTGGTCCAACGTCGCCAGCCACGCCTCTAATAACGGACTCGTGGCGGAACTGGGTCTTCGCGGAAAGCCTACGACGCACTGTCATCGTCAGCTATACGGTTCAGGGCCTCTACTCATTCCTCAAGAACGGGTGGCAAGAGGAGTATCGTGAATTCCGGAAGCTATCGTTCCACGCTCAAGAGGCACTGTGGGTCGCCCCATCTGAATATTATTGGCAATCCGCCTTGAAGGAACATTCTAGCCTCCCGGTCCAGTTCCACTCTTGGGACGTGGACATTGGGGATGCAAAGCCATCGGATATGGACGACCTCGGCATGTTGGTGATGGTTTTGATGAAAGGCGTGGACTACTCCTCGCAGTGGGTCGGGCCTGAGAATCTGGAGAAGTTTGGTCTCGTCTTGCAAGATCCAGACTTGGAAGCTATGTGATGGAGCTAAGGGATGGCAGCATGGTCAACCACCTCACGCATGACCACATTCCAAAATTGACATCATTCAACCAATTCCTGCATGCCCAAAAGTGCGTGCAGAGTCAAGAAAATTGGTATTGCCAGAAGGAAGAATCCTTCTGGCGGTTTTTCAAAATAAAAGGGCAAATATACAGCATTCGTGAAGCAGTGCGTATCTGCCTCGTACAGACTCTGCGAGGCCGACGTCATAGCTGTATCACGAAGAGTCCATTGCCATGATCTAACAATTACAAATGAGGAAGTGCTTGCCTAGAGGGTTACTCTGTAGGCCGATGTGGAGCAGCTTCTTCGTCATCATACATGCCAATCTTCTACTGTCAGCCTGCGGCACATCAGCAAGCTGGGAAGGCTTCAAGTTGGCTAAAACTGGATATTCTTGATGTCAGCTGCTTTGCCCGTTTTAAATCGTGGATATAGACTACTGATTAAGAAACACAGATAGTTGGGAATATGCCATCTCGGCAAGCTTCATTTTCTTAAAATGTCGCGAGAAACTCGTATAGAAGCCTTCAAACAAGACAAGATCGTCAATAGGCTTGCAATAATTCATATATTTAGATTCTAAATCTAATCTTTCTTCTCCATACTGCAGTAGATACATAAATACAAGGCTAAACGGGCATCACACATCGTTACAGTATCCGTCAAGACGTGTGTCTACCACCCTCTACAAGGGTCTGAACACTTGTAAAGGGGGAGAACCTGCTTGCTCACGATGTATATGCTGAATTAGAAGGCAAAATAGGCCAAGTAAAACTATACCAGTGGTGGAGAATGGAAGGTGCGGTAGCATCGAATTCCAGGAAGTCAAAGAGCGGAGAAGGCTCATCACTAGTCACTCCACAACGCGCTGCCCGGGTGATTATTTCAATAAGCATTGCAGCTGCGTCAACTCGGTTCAGAATTCTCTGGGCGGTTTCAGAGGCTACCATCGCCAGTGTCACCATCGATTTCTTCTTCTCCGACACCGGTCTGCTTCTCAGTAATGGTAAGCGTGGTGAGATGAGCCACGGAACCGCTGAGGTCGTTGCCACTGACCTGGCTCGAGAGTAATCCGTGTGGGCTCAGGATCGTGAATACTTTCTGGGTGCGCCCTTGGGCAATCGACGTTTTCCACTGGTTGCCGGTAAGGTGCTGGCTGTTAATCCTGTTAATAAATCAGCCTGTGATGGCTACCTGGAATGATGGAGACGATCGAGGCCGAATAGTCCACGTCCAGATCTGGACTAAGACTGTCCTGCATTTTCATTCGCGCACACACATCGTCTGGCTGGAAGAAGATCGCTTTGTAAAGTTGGCCCACTCAGCGACCCAGTTCAAAGGCTTGTTCGGCCATGGTGATAAAGAATAGGCTGGTCCGGCGCGGTATGGTAAGAGAGTAATCAGCAAAAACCAGAGATCCACCGACAACGAACCCGTGGGCGGACGATTGAACTATTTCTTATGGTCTCTGTCTCTGTTGCCGGGGCTGCGGAACTCCGCCATGGCTGCGGCATTTCCCTTCACTGGTATATACTTCCGCGCTGCTGCGGACTGCGGAAGACTAACCCAATTTGCTGAGTCCCGCCAGGCGTGGTGGAGGAGTGGACAAACTTCCGCCCGTCGGCATATGGCTGTCCGTATAATTGGCTTCCAGGTCATTCCTCCTTCGTATTCGGAACTCGGCGGTCAGGGTATATAGGCATCTTTATACCCCCAGTCACAGTATTTAAAGACTTCCAGCAGCAGAAGACGGGAGACACGTTTTGATCCTGCAATAACCATCAACTCAATTATCGACTAACGTACATTATCCAAGATGCCATCGGTGCCCACTCGAGCGGGCGACGTTTCATATGTCGTCCAGGGTAAAGGGCTGCCAGTGATTTTGTTGCACGCAACGCTTCACGACTGCCATGACTTCGACTCCATTGCTGGCAAGCTCGCAGTGCACTACCAAACAATTGCTGTCGACTGGCCATGGCATGGGGATTCGAAAGGACCATCGACGGGAAATTCACCTACCATCCACAGGCCCAGCGCCGTCGAATTTGCCGGAGTCTTGGAGGATTTCGTGTCCGCGCTGGATTTGCCTCCCGCGGTGATCATTGGGAACTCCGTGGGGGGATTCGCCGCTGCGCGACTAGCGATTTCCCATCCCAGTCGGGTTCGTGCGTTGGTTCTGGTTAACTCAGGAGGATTTATAGCCTTGAATCACGTTGCCCGGTTCCTATGTTACCTGCTGGGATTTCCAACGATGTCGCGCTTTATCATGCCTCTCATGGTGTCCCGATACATGAGCCCGCAGACCGCCGAAGATGAAGGGATCAGCCGAAAAACAGTATCCAGAGCCAGGACAAAGGAGGGCGCCTGGGTATGTGCCTCGATTTGGCAGAGTTTTATTAATCCGGAGCATGATCTGCGTCCCCGAGCAAGAGAGATCAAGGCGCCCACGCTACTAGCTTGGGGTACTCGCGATTTCGTCATCCCGTTGAACATCGGTGAAACTGCGCACAAGCTCATATCAGGATCTAAACTCGAACTCTTCGACGCGGGACATGTCGTCTTTTCGTCAAAGCCTGAGGAATTTCTCCGGGTTGTGGAACCATTCATTCAATCGACCTTGCAGCGACAGGAGGAATAGACGCCTGCCGATTTGACATCGTTGTATGCTAATATATGTGCTTGCATATGATATTATATAGCATAGGAATTGTCTTCTAATAGTAGTGATATCGTTGTGGATAAGGCCATGGTATAAAGGTATTCTGTCAGATATTAGGATAGAGCAGTATCGGATTAATCCCATATATATTAAAATATAATCAGTCCTTCCACCCATAGGTAAATCCTCCGAAGTGGGAAGAAGGAACTGGTCTATGATAAATGCTACGGTTCAATTTGCACGGGTTTAAAAGTAGTCAGTAGGTTTTGTGTCGGTCCCGATGTCAGTATTGAAGCTATATATATCTTTCTCGGCATAGACATAGAGCTTAATGAAAGAAAAAAAAAAAAATCCACCAACCCAACAACACCAAGAAAATGGTAAACCCAATCCGATGCGAATGTCTATTTGCATCGACAAAACGACATGATAGAAAATGCCACGAAAGAGAGAGAGAAAAAGAAGAGAAGAGCTCTATCCATCCTAGCTTGGGTAGAGTAACCAAGCCTAGAACAAAGGCCTCCCAGACGCCATACGCACAAAGTCAAAGGGAACATTCTGCCCCACGAGCAGCCGCAACGTCTCGACAGTCGTCCAGGCACTAACATCCTCAACGCCATACGCCGTCCACCCGGCACCCCCCGCGACCGCAAGTGGATCACCCTTACGGGCACCGGAGGTGAGATCGAGATAGACCTTGCCGCGGATAGAAGGCGATGAAGGGGGCGAGGAGCGGCCGTTCATACTACTACTATTAGCAGCAGTATTGGTGTTGGTAGTAGCGTAATGTCTAAGCAAAGGCTGAACAAGCAAAGATTTCTCCGGCGGAAGCGCAGAGACGATAACGAAAGGCTGCTCGACCAATTTGACGGACTGGATCGATGTGAATGGTTCAAGGCCTGTGGATAATGGGCCTGATGCTTTGAAGCCGACTGTGTAGATCGACCCGACGCCCAAGCTACGGAGTGCGAATATTGCAGCGCTGGCGTCTGTTTCGCTGCCCGCCAGGATTATGGCTGCGCGGTTGCGGTAGGCGCTGGGGACGTATTCGCGGGTTAGTGTGGCGCGGATGCCTTTCCAGGTGGCGTTTTCGCCAATGAAGCGCGTCGTAGTGGTGGAGGAGTTATTGTTTCTCGTTACTGGTGTTGTTGTTCCGTCGCCTGGTGTCACTAAGGCGAGAGTGTCGACTAGCCCGATTGCGCGAGCAGCGTCGCTGATGGCGGGGATGTATGGGGTCGTGCTGGCGATGGGAGGATTGATGGACGCGCCGCCGAACTGCGGTTGCTGAATGACTGACTCCATAGAGCCCTTTGGCCCACGGTCAACAGAGCTGAAAGTATGCGGAAGACCAAGTTCGTTGAGGCATTTCTCCATGAACATAGAGTGCGGTGTCGAGCGGAACGAGCCAATAGCGTACAAGTCGCGCTTCGGGAGCTGGCCCATGATATGCAGGGCCTCGTTGATCTCGGCAGCGGTCAGCTGGCCCGGCGCAGCGATCATGGGGAGGAGCGGGTGTGTGATGGGTGAGAAGACAGTGTTGAGGGCCCGGGACAACTGCCCCATCTGGCCCATATTCACGGCTGACAACAGCGGTCCGGGACCGCGATTCTTGATCGTTGACCGGAAGTACTCCAGCTCGTAGTTCTCTTCGATGGTGGAGACCATAGCGATCATCTTGACGATGTCGGCGTACCGGGCGCTCTCTGTGAAAATGCGCTGCGCTTCGGGTGATGTCCACTTCCACGCCCCGGAAAAGTCGTGGAAAGCAGACATGATGATACTATGTCCCTTGGCCTCTGCGAGTCGTCGTCGGATCTCTTCTGGCAGCCAAAGCTCGACATCGATATACTCGACGCCCCACTGAATGGCGCGCCGAAGGTACTTGTAAAACAACGCGGGATCATCCATGGGGAATTTTCCATTCTCCTTCGTGCACCGCGTCGTGAAAATAATAGGCAGCTCGGTATGCTGCCGCAGCAGCATCAACTGCTGACCGACATACTTGAGACTGGGCACGGGAGAAGCCAGGGCGCCCTCCTGCGCACAAGGCTCAACCAACAGATCCACGCGAATCTCGACCGCATCCGAACCAACAGACAAGATATCCAAGTTCGGCAGCGCAGCATGCACATCCGGGAAGGTAGTCGAGATGAAATTGGTGCGAGTCTTCGTGCGCAGATCATCATGCGGCCGATTCTGGCCCAGGATCAGCGACAGAAAGCGGGTGAGGTCGCGCCGCAGAAAGGGACTGCGTGAGTACAGGAACTCATAGTCGCACAGCTCGGTCAGCGCGTCATCCGGTGCGGAGCCATCCTCCACGCAATGTGTATTGATCACCGTCAGCGCGGACCGGTTGTCGCTATCACATCCCTCTGATAACCTCCGGGACAGATCTTGCGCGGGGATGCCCACGACAACAGCGGCATCGCCGGCTCGCGCGGGAGTATCAAGGGATGGTTCCGTCGTCCACGGCTTGCCCAGTACCTCTGCGACGGTCTGGACGATGTGTTCCTGGCTCGGGCCGAAGGCGATCACGATTGTGCCAGTTGGATTGTCTGGGGGAGCGGCGAGGGTGGTCGCGTGGTCTTTGGTGGAAGCGGCGGGAAGGGACAGGGGCGGCGCGGTGATGGAGGAAGAGGAGGTGGTGGTGGCATTGTTGTTGGAGATAGGGGTAGTAGTAGATATAGGTGCAGCCATGTTCGTGAGTGCCGTCGCGGAGACAGTTGTCTCGTCGAACAACGGCGTGGCCATGGGTTGCGGGAGGGCTGTGGGCATCATCGCATAGCAGCAGCAGTTCCAGGCGTAATCATACTTGGGTTAGAGTCGAGCCCGGGGAGGGTTCAATGAGGGGAGTCGACAGGGTAAAGACAGGCGGAAAGGTGGTTGGCTGCGCAGGAGAATTGTCCGGATCGGCCAGGACAAGTAGGTCAGGGCGGGATTCTCAAAGGAGGAGAGATCCGGGCCGGGATATTGAATTGATTGAATGAGGGAAGCACTTTAGCCGGGAGAAACATTCGGGACCATGAGCTGACAGGACATGGATGTAGTTATTTACCCCCACGGTGGAAGAACTCCCTGTGCGATTCCATCCACACGAGCGCCGTGACGAGTTGGGGCGCGGGGGAAATGGGCCGGGCTGTATTTATCCGCCAATCAGCGAGAGGATAGGGGACCACTTTTATACTACAATGAAGTTATCGATAGTAGGATCCATGTAGATATTTACATGGATAGGTATAGTTACACTATCACTTAGATGGCTATGTGAAGAATCATCAACAAGGAGCAAAACGAAAGAAAGAATACCAGGGGTATTGGGGAATAGACACAGTCGCCGAGACAAAATCAATGACATGAGAAATGATCGCACTTTTGGGTTTTGTTCACACTGCCGTGCTTCTAGCCGCGGTTGAGAGGATATGAAATGACATGGTGATATGATGATATGTACGAGAACAGGAAAGGAAACAAGGTCGAGGGAATGCATCGTGGAGAGACCATTCAAGGGGGAGATTCATGAGAAGGTGTAGACAAGTGATGATAGGTATGGTGGTTTGTTTCATGTGGCTCTCTCGGCGTCTGTCCTGTGGACAGTACGGCCGACATCGGGGTAGAGAAGCTGCAAGATTCATCTAACTCGTACAGCACATGGCGACACATGGATGGAAGAAAAAGGATCAGCGGGCCAGCCGTCTGCTTCCTGGCTATTTGCCGAGGCACATGTCGCAAAACACAAAGAGAGATGGCCGGCGAGATGGCGTCGTGCTGGGTCAACCCAACACAAAGTCTCGGCGGGTGGACGAGTCGGATCCGCGCCATAACCGGAGCGGTGCATCTCGACGTTTCAACAAGGGTCTTGAACGGCGAGTCGCAATGCAACCATCGGATCAGACCCAAGATGAGAAAATCGTCCACAAATCAAAACGTCCTACCTAACTGGGCGGCGAGATAGCCAAGCCATTCATCAGCTTAGGTAAAGGCTTCCTGCGGGCGTTATTCGCCGTCTTGGACACCCGTGGAGCACCGTGGATCATGCGGGGTTCTTTCATTAGACTGGTGTCCAGTTTTGCCGGGGCGCGGGTCGGACCGCGAGTGTGGTACTCGCCAGAGAGGTTCTGCTGACTGCGGCTGGTTGGGGCGAAGAAGGTGGCGCTGGCTGTGCGCCAGAGGTGGTTCGAGGTGTCTGACAAGAAGTCTGTCGTTGAGCGGCCGGAGAAGATCGATGTTCGGCCGCGGTTGCGCTTGGAGAGAATGATTTCGTCGAAGAGGGCCATTTTCGAGTCCTTGGCCTTGGGGCTTGTGCGCTCTCGTTCACTGATGAACTCGTTGAAGCCTTGCGTCTGCTGCAGAACTGCAATGTATTCGGCGTGTTCGTGCGGCATGCTCTTCATGAAAGCCTCCATGTTAAATTGGTAATACATGCCGGATTTCTTCTTGTCACTGCTCGCGGGATGAAGAAACTTCTTGTAAGTATAGAACAGGCTGGCAAAGCATCGAACGAAAGCGGCGCGAATTTGGTCTGGGTGGAATGCTGCGTCGCACACCAGGCAAACCTGGGAGGCGCAGCGGTTATGGACGGTGAGCTGGCATGCAGAACACCTATACATTCCTTCCTCCGCATGATCATCGCAAATACCGCAAACCATCTTCTCATCCCACGGCTGGGTTTGGAAAAGGTGGCCCTCGATCCAGCAGGTGCCTTCGGCGTTGGTGACAGGCTGAACCGTGGCTTGTGGAACGATTGTGGACGCAGCGATGGTCGATTGAGCGTACACCGATGGTGCATAGGTCGATCCGTGGCCAGAAACGGTGTTCAAGGTGGTCACCGACAGGTTGGATGCGTGTCCGAGGAAGGGTACACTAGGGCGTCGTGTGATACCTCGCATTTCCGCTCCAAAGGAAGAGCTTCTCCGCGACATCGCATCAAAGTGGCCAGAGCGCTTTTCACGCAGCGAAGCCTGCAGAGCCATACCAGAGTCTGTCCGTGACGACGGTGTTGGCGGAGGCGGAGGAAAGTGTCCGGAAGAGGGCGAGCTCTCTCTGGGAGATGGAGGAGAGGCTCCTGCCCTGGAAGTCGAGGCCGTCCCTGGGCGTTCATAGCTCTTGGAGGAAAAGCCACGCGAAGGGGCCTCATGGCGGGCATGCAAGAAGGTGTTGAAGATTGGTGCCTGGTAAGACCCCGGAATCACGGCATTCGGGCCAAATGCGCCGGAGTTGAGACTGACATACTTCGCCAGATTGGTCGGCGGTGCTTTGGAGGAGAAAGTGGCCGCGTTTTCCGTCAAGAAAGTGTCCCAGGGATATGTCTCAATGGCGTATGCAGGTGGGCCAGTGGGGACACCGCAGCGAGTGTGATGAGGGGCAGCCATCTGCAAGAGTGACAAAAGCTTTCGACGCTGGTGACGCGGAAGTGGAGTGGGCCGTATGGTACTTTCGATCATATCGGAGTCCAGGTCCACCAGAACAAAGTCGTCGGTTGGCAACTCCACCTTCTCATAGCGCCGTTCAATACCCACGATGTATGGGCATGGTGCCTCGATGGCTTGAACCAAACGCGCGGGAAGCACCGGAATGAGCACACCGGTCCATTGAAGTGGGAACAGAAGATCAACCAAAGCCCGAGTCGCAAGATAGAGCATAGAAGTGTGAGATGAGAGGAAGATGATTCGTGACTCCGTGAGGGCGTACTCGAACAGAATGACGATATTGGGGACGGACAGGGTTCGGAACAGCGCGTAAAGATCAGTATTTCGGGAGCCTGGAAGCTCATTGGGCGCCTCTTTCCGCGCAAACAGTCGCAATTCCCGAATGGCCAATTCAACCTGGGTCTTGGACGAGACCGGGCAGAATGCTTCGGTGCACAGGTTCATCACATATCGCTCCAATGGCTGCCAAAGGCCCATCCGCGGCGAAGGAGGCGGCACACGCTGAACAGCGCCCTCCGTCATGGGCACAATCACGGCCTTCAACCATTCCTTCCAGAAAGTAGTCATCGTGCTCTCTCGTCCAAGAAGACCGTAGGCCCGGGGGATCCAAAAGCCAGTATCGCCGTCGGTCAAGCCCTCAATCTTGGAGGCTGCGCCGTGTCGCACAGGACGCAGCAAGTCGGTCATCAATCCAATCTTCTCTTCCACCGCACTGATCTCATCTTCGAGCTGCTCGCGTGAGTCTGACCCGGAGAGGACCGTCGGGAGCTTCGCCAACAGTTGCGACAATTTGGCCCGCTCAGATGCCAATCTCTCACCCAAACTGGCTGCCAGCTCACGTTCCTCGTCTGTCATGTTATCTCTCCGCCACTCTTCACAGCGCTTCTCCAACTCCTCCGCTGCTCGCTGGTTGAGGGGAATCCAAACAATCACACAGATCGCATGCAGTTTCGAGCCATTGTCCGTGGTCATGGCAAACCCGTGCCAGGTAGACCGCGGACGCTGGTCCGACGAAACAATATTGATATCATTCGGAAAGGCGAACATGGGAACATAGTCAGGAAGATTGCCGCGCTGCTTCATCTCCTCCGACATGCCTCGGGTGGGGTATCGATCGAGGAGAACGGGTTCGAACCGGCGTTTAAGAGGATGCATGGAGGGGGAGATCTCGAGGGGTTGTGGGACAGGGATCACGGAATTGTAGTTGCTCAATCGTCGGGAGGTTCGCACGGAAGCTGGGACGGCAATTGGGTTAATTCTCATTCGAGGTATGTTGGGGTTCTAACTCACCTTGACGAGCTACAGACGGCTGCCTTTTCATACTATTCATGTCGCGAAACGACATGTGACGGCGCACACTCCCAATGCCCGATCGGAGAAGATTGTTGGACCCCGGGGACGGCGCCTCATCGACAATCTTCTGGGTGCGCACGCGTGACCGCGGGCGCGAGTTCGGAGTGATGGCCCCCGCACTCAGACTCAAGTCCGTCAGGAAGGTGTCCCTCTCCGACGCGAACTTCAGGAGCGCCTGATCAAAATCGAAATCCTCCATAAACATCGACTGGCCACGCGGCGAGGGCGTCGCACCCTTGACGGTCACGCTGCTGCGGTTGCTGCTGGTCCCATTGGACTGCTCCGAGTCCCTGGAGAGCGTGGAGAGCCGGTTGTTGGAGCCCCGGCGCTCGTTGCCCACAAACAGCATGGAAGTCGGCCGGGATGAACTCCCTGTGGGTTTGTGCTCCTCCTCTGCGTCTTCCTGAATTACATCTGCCAGGGCGGGGCCGGGGGATGCGGCGCCATTTATGCGATAGTCCTCGCCTAATCGCTTGAAGGTCTCCAGGACCTCGGCGCCGTCCACACCGGCGATCCAGAAGTAGTCTGCGAGAGGGGCCCCTCTGTGGTGGTACTCTGCGAGGGCATGGTGGCGAGCGCAGCAGGGCGTGGCAGCGTTGATTTTCAAGGAGGCCTGGTCACCGCATGGACTGTGGAGGGATCTCCGACCGCATCAATCAGGGAGAGGGAATGCGCAGGAGGGGAAGATGAAAATAACTGATAAGAGATTACAATTAAATATGTAATCAGTAATGTCACTCGTGGAGGAAAAGACAGAAGGGGGGGAAGAGAGAAAGAAGGAATAGGAGGAAGAAAGGAAGAGGAGACGGAGGATGGAGGGGTGAAGGTCGATCATGTATTGGCAGAAAGAATACACCCCAGTTCAGTCTTTTACTTGTGTGTACATTACTACTGGACTACTTTAGTCACCCTCAGACTATCACCTATTATTCTCTCATATTCGCCTATTAATTGTGCAATTCACCTTCTGTCCAGGGCCGCGGCTGCGTGCGTAGATGGGCAGTGGTAACGCAATTACTAGCTGGTAACTGACTGTGGCACAGGCACTCCACCATAACTAACGAAACTAAACTATGACAGGATACCCGTCAATGGGAGGCCAGAGAACTTTTTGCACCCCTGCAAAAAGCCCGGGGAGGAGGATGAACTCAATCTGAGCATGCGCATTCATAATTCTTCTGTCTGCCTGACTCGGATGAACACAACTCCACCCGCACTCATGGTTCGGTGGAGCGCATCGCACTCGATGCAATTCATGGTCGCAGATGGAGTCCGGAGAGCCACCCAAGATTGTCGGCCCCATGGATTTTGGGTTTGACTTTTATACAGTAGTTACAGCTTCGTCACACCTAACCTAAGGGCGTTATCGGCGCCGTTTGGGGTGGGGGCGGGATTCACGAAGGGCAGCCAAGTGAGACATGGCGTATGAATAAAGAACGGCATTACTTCAGTCGTACTCAGTCAGTAGTGCTAAAGAGGTTCTGCTAGGGGCCAAAAAGAGCAGGATTGCTCGGAGACGGCCGAATCAGTCTGTCCCTCCAGGCGCCACCAGCATATTGTAGGAACTCGGCTCGGTGGGTATTCGGTCGGGCGATCGATGCCTGTTCCGGGTTGTGGAGCGTGGAAGATAGTGAACGAGTCTGTGTCGGTAGATAGTGGAAGAGAAGAGTATAGACGTGCACAGAGTTATTTACATAGATCGTACCTGACTTGACCCCTGGCCAACACAGCCCGTTTGGTGGCTGCATCCCGACCGACATATGTACATTGCTTCGGCTAAAGACGCGGTGGATATTGCCTGATATTCTGCTAGTATGTTTTACATAGTCCCTCTCTATTATGATCATTACTACAACTAACTATGATTTAACACAATCGCTCTTTATGCCGGCTTTACGAATTCAATGGCAGGACCATTCCGCGATAGCGCGGAACGGTCCTGCTGTTCCAGACCGCCTGCTTCCGCTGCCGCCCCAAGTATAGACACCCGGTGCGTCGCTCGACCACTGGCGCTCCCTTCTTGCTCTATTTTCCACCCACCCAGCCGTCTACTCGACGTCGTGCCCGCGAAACGATAACTATAGGCAATTAACAGACGGGCTGGGCAGCGCTGGGAGACGATTCCCTAAGGTCAGATCCCGGTGGAGCTCATTCAGAAGAAGGTACATCCTTGAGAATCCTTTGAGTGCATGGTAGAATGGCCTACCCCTCTCCCAGGCTATTTTCGTCAAAAATATCCGTTTCATCCACATATTCCAGGATATAAGTCAGAATCGCCATCCAGTAATGTCAGATTCTGGTGTCACAGTCTCTACAAAGCAACATGATAATAGCCTCGCAATATCGCACAGGGTGAGGGATTCGCACAAAGTCAAATTCGGGTTGGAAGCGCCCTTGACCCCGGCCGGGAACTGCGGGTGGAAGTCGTTTGTCTGAAGCGTTAAAGAGGTCTGGGCTTCCTTCGGACAAAGATAGTTCCCACAGTACATCGGACTTCCGCTATACCGATATCACAAGCTTGTCGTCGATGCGTAAGTGCTCGGCAGGAGGCTGACGGCGATGTCCAATTAAAAATGGACAAAGTAGTCCTTGGATACAAGGAGCAAACCCGGCATTCTGGATGCAGGAAAAGGCGGTCTCTGTAGATTCACCGGGCCCAACGGACACACCCTATCTACCATTAGGTCAGTGATCTTTATTCAGAAAATAAGTAGAAATACAGACGCCAACGATGGTTGAGACCCCGTAGACAGTCAGTAAATTAGACAGTCAGTAAATAGTTGCCCCAAAGAATGTTCGATGCACCAGCGGAGGTGAGTATACTCGAGAGTAACAAGAGGAACCCAAGGAATTGCAGCAGTCTCGAGTGCCTCGTAGTATGAGTCGCAGCACCTCCAGCGCGACCCGAATATTGTGCGGGGGAAGAGGGGCAAGCATGCCGCGGGCCGGCCTTTTGTTCTGTTTGGCCACAAGTGACATTGATCAGGGCGCGCTGTTGTCTGTAGACTCGCTAGATGAGAAACTCATGCACATGTGGCCGGATAAACCGGATGTGACGGATACGCCGACTATGGTTATGATAGTCTGCTCAAGAAGACAAAGAGATATACAGATCGACATGCAAAACTCGAGCAGTATTGAACAGGTGTTCAATAGAATGAAGCACATGTCTTCGTTGAGTCGTTGGGGTTGAGTGGGGTCAATAGTTGACTATCGCGAATCGATCTCTCCAATTTGTCCAATGAATCGTGTTCAGCATGTGGTCTTGTCCTCTTTTACATCGTTGGATTCCGCATGTGAATACTTGAATAGTGTCTGCCTAATCTAGCCTCCTTCTGCCTTTACCATCACAGATCATTGGAATGTGTGATCCTTTGATCATTACTCCTTCACATGCAACAACGTCACAATCACATGGCAACACATATAAATATTTATCAAGACAAGTGCTCAAGAAAATATCAATTTACTAGATCTTCCAAACTTGTTCAGATTGATATTCTTCATTCTCAAAATGACCGTCACTCAAAACACCCAGGGCCAGCTGTCCCAGGAGCAAAGGGACAAGTTGAAAGAACTTTGGAGCTTAGTCCTTGAGCTACTGGATGTATGGGCATATCTGATCAACATATACCCCACATTGAGATCTTCTGACAAGAAATAGCCTATACACAACCACAACAGTAACCTCGAGACCACTGGTTCGGCCTACACTCCCAAACTTGTAGAGCTCCTTCACCAGAAGACCAATCCTGGCCGTTCCGAGCTCAAGACTCTCCGGAATGAAGTCAACGACCTCTCTCCGGATACACTCTTTGTGTATCTGTTGAACACCACTAAGCAAGAGTCCCCTGATCGATTCCTGCTGCGGTTCCTGAAAGCCCGCAAATGGGATGTTGGCAAGTCATTCGCGATGTTGGTCCACGCGCTCGTATGGCGTAACAAGCTCCTCAACGTTGACGAGACCGTCGTCTCCAATACCGAACTAAACGCCCTCAAAGAATCCCATGATACGTCTGATCCGCAAAAGGCGAAGATGAGCCATGGATTCTTGGAGCAACTCCGGACCGGAAAATGCTTTCTGCATGGGACGGATCGTATCGGACGTCCTATCTTAGTGCTTCAAGGCCGACTGCATCGATCGACGGAGAAGAATGAGGTTCTGAATCGAGGAATCCTTCATATGATTGAGGCTGCGCGGTTGGTGCTTGTGCCGCCAGTTGAGAGTGTGGTATGTTTCCTTACGTATCTTGAGTTCTTGGTGAAGGACAGGTTGCTGATTTTGTACACGCCTAGACTGCTGTATTTGATATGACGGGCTTCTCTGTGTCTAATATGGTATGTTTTATTTCTATTCTAAGCTAGTGCCGTGCAATGCGGTATTACTGAATAGTACTAACGTGGTTACAGGAATACGCAGCCGCGAAATTCCTAATCGAATGCTCCCAAACTGGATATCCCGAATTCCTAGGCGTCCTTCTTATCCACAACGCACCATGGGCTTTTTCCGGTACGCTGTCACTCTGTCACTACTCTCAATATATCTGTAGTCCCAACTAAGCCAAACTACAGGTATTTGGAAAACCATGAAGCGTTGGATAGAGCCGGAGATTGCATCTCGTATCCACTTCACATACACGACGGCTGAAATTGAGAAGTTCATTGCTCCAGAACGACTAGTCCAGGAACTGAAAGGCAAGGAAAACTGGTCATTCGAGTTTGTTGAGCCCATTGAGGGCGAAAATGCGAAGATGGAAGATACAGCCACTCGGGACGCTATCTATGCGGAACGGAGAAGCATCGGGACGGAGTTACTGAGCGCAACCTCTGAGTGGCTCAAGGCAGAGACTGAGGAGGAGAGAGGTAGGGCCAATTCTCGGAGGGAAGATGCGATTGTGAACTTGCACTTGAATTATTGGACATTGGATCCCTATGTCCGTGGGCGAAACTTGTTAGACCGCACGGGGGTCATTCAGGAAGGTGGGAAGATCGACTTTTACCCCAACCCCAACTCAAAGTCGCAGTAGACTTTGATACAGTACGTTCATGTCTTAGACAGCCGTGTGTGTGTGTGTGTGTGTGTGTGTGTGTGTGTGTGTGTGTGTGTGTGTGTGTTTAATCATTTACCCTGGCCCATCAGAGGTCACAGAGTAAACATCTAGAATAATACTTTTATACAGCATTAAATTTGGCCATCGATCAAACCTACCTGAACACTGCTTCACCGCCTCATCCAGATGGTGCAAGCGTCCACGATGGACCCGCTCGTTGTCAGGAATCAATACGCCTCTCGTTACAACGGACAGGAATGCGAGGGCGTGTGGTCAAAGTAGGAAGGTGCGTGTGCGAACTGTATGTGCTGGAGACGCCAGAATCGGCCGCCTTGGTACAAATGCATTTTGTTATGGGAATTATAATACATCTAGACCAAGACTTTTTCAGCTGGAAACTGCAAGTTCCAGCCGGGGCCATGCAGGTGATGCAGGGTCTAGAACTGTCGGGACTCATGCCCGCTGGTCCGAGTGTCAGGAGGCGCTGCACTAGGTATACGCGGCCATGCTTAAATAGTGGATGGATTTCTGATTGTGTTAGGGTATGCATGGGTAACTCGGCACTTGGTCGGTATGTAACGATGTGCTTGGGTACATACTGGGCACTGGGGTTTGGACTGGAGGACTGCCCCTTGCCGGCAAGTAGATGTTGTGCAACCTTCCCGGTGGAGGGTATTGAAATTTACGTATGTCGGGCTGTGTAGACTGGTACAATATTACACGAGTATCCTTCTCCATCTTTTAATAAATGGAAGAATCATATCCCCAAGTACTATATCTCGGAGACAGCCCTAACTGCGCTTCCGGCTCATCAGATTCCCCGTTGTCAAAAACCCCTTATCCCCCATCGCCCCCCGCCACTCGATTGACAACTGGCCTAGCGTCGCGCGCCCATCGCGCCTCAAATCCTTCTGCAACGCCTCCAGGCCCTCCACCGCGCCCTCCGCCTGCTCCACCAGGAACGCAACCTGCAAGACGTCGCGCGGGTTGAGCATCGGGGGCGGCAGCGCCACTGACATGTCCGGCATGGTGGCGTCCAAACTGAGCGATTGCGATGTGAACGGCGCCTTGGGGCTCAGCCGAGTTTGCTAGATGAGGTGGGTTAGCTAGCGAGCTAGAAATACAAAATAGTTGCCCAACGACTCACGGTCACCACAACCGACCCATCCCCCACGTTTTCAAGCTGTGCTTCCAGCGCAAAGCGCAGCAGCCGCGTCTTGCCGTATGGGCCGAGGGACTTGTTCTCCACTTCCAGCGGCGGCAGCTCCGATGCCTTCGTGCGCACGCTGAGGCACGGTTGCGCGACGAACTGGTATAATTTGCGGAATGTGCGGACACGTCCGCTGGCCGCTTGGGCGTCTGTTCCGATACGTGTCTCTGTGTAGCTAACGCTGACGGCGAGAATATGGTTTCCTTCTTCCTTCAAGTCGAACCGGACGATCTTTTGTAAAGACTCGTCGTTGCCCAACCCAAGCCCAGCCTCTGACTGGGCTTTGTCGTTGGAGGGCGTTGGCTCAAGATCGAGAGCTGCGACTTGTGAGGGGGTTTGCATTTCGGCGACTATCCGGACGGATGTCACGACGCGTCCGGATTCGTCGTGCGAAATTTCATTGTTGGCGCTTAGCGTGCAGGCGAAAGTTTCGCCGACATAGACGGATCCGAAGGCCGGGGGGAGGGTGAGCTATGTAGTTGCGTCAGCGTAGATCCGTGGGGTTTGCTTGTTCTACTCACAACAGGTGCGAGAATGAATTGGTCGTCGGCTTCCTCGGATGGATAGCTTAAGGATGCTCGTGCTGAGATCTTGCTGTTGGCGGCGGGGAGAGGGTATTGGAGGGATAGCGACGGGCGTGAGAGACTAGTAAGCGTTAGAAGCCCGTGCAGGTAGAATTTCAGATCTAGCGAGCTAACCGGAGGACTGTTGAAAAGCTCACGGTCAGTATGCTTCGCATTGAATTTGTCTGTTATCGGCGGCGTACCTTTCAAAGAAACCGCATGGGCTTCCTTGGGCGCATCGGCGCCCGACGGAGCTCGTGGCCGAGCCATAAATGGAGAAGAGCGTCAGGAATGGTCAGTTAGGAGCTGGTCATGTTGTCATCCTGGCGGTGATCGATGGTGGATTGGAGTGGAGTGGGTTCGTGCTTCTCCGCGAACTCACCAACTTGACCGATAAGAGCTGGATGCAAACACTGCAAACATCCTGTTGTTATCCAGGACTATTTGCCTTCTGCTTCTCCATCTCCCTAACCTACTCGACTCTCCTTCGAACACAATAAACATATCCAGCAATATGGAAACAGGTTCGCTGGGGCGTGCAAAATCTTCGCGCAAGAGAAAATCAGCGGGAACCCTGGTGCCATCCAATGTCGAATTGATCGATTTGACCGGCGACGACCCTACACCTGCGCCCAAACGAACACCCCGAGCAAAGAAACGGCGACGCGAAGACTCCAACCCACCCGCTACGCCCGAACGTCGTCTGCGAAGATTCCGCCCCTATCCACCGGCGTCGTGCATGGATAGATTGCATCGATCGAGGACCCAAAGGTGCGTATCCCAAGTTGCTCGTCTGGAAACACCCACTGATGGCGCGTGTGTCCAGGATGTATGTGGTAGGACATACGGTGGGCGGCACAGACGAAGTACCGGAGATCTCGTTTGACATGGTCGGCACGACCGGGAATCTGTACAAGACGGTGATTGGGAAGGTGCCGTCCTGCGACTGCCCTGACGCCACGAAGGGGAACCAGTGCAAGCACATCTTCTACGGTATGTTTTTCGTATCTCTCGGCGCAGCCATGGCCTACCCGTTATCCACTATTATTATTTATTCTTATTTCCTTGTACTGATGGCGTATACAGTGCTGGTGAATGCGCTCAAAGCACCCGAACACCTCCAGTACCAGCTGGCTTTTCTTTCCGACGTAAGTTGGCAGTCTTTTTGAGATGCATCAAGCTAATCCGTTGGCTGCTGCCTCCATTAGGAACTCCGTGAAATGTACCGTGGATCCCCCTGCGCCGCGGACAAGCTGCTTCCACCGAAGACACGGGTGGCAAGCAGAGACCCGTCGAGGGGGACTGTCCCATCTGCTTCATGGAATTCGAGGCAAACGAGGCCATCGTTTTCTGCCGCGCGGCCTGCGGGAACAACATTCACAAGGTCTGTTTCGATCAATGGGCCGCCACCACACGTTCTTCCGGTGTGCGTTGCGTTTACTGGTGAGTGCTGGTTGAGCGTATGCCTTACGGACAACCGACTGACAGAAATAAATCAGCCGAGCGCCTTGGAAATTCGATAAGCCTAACCACGACCTTGAATCTCTCAAAAAGGATGGCCGTGTCAACGCAGAAGGCTATGTCAATGTGGCGGAACAGTTTGGATTGTCTGGTAAACGAGGTATGAGCACCGCCCCTATACCCGGCTTTGTCAAACCCACAACGTTCGTTGTTCACTAACAAATCTCCCGCTTGTAGAATGGTCCTCGTACTCGCCTTGGTTCAACCGTCGTCGGAGGCGCGGGTTGTCACGATACGATGAATATGGAGACCCCTATGATTCGGACGACCTCTCATGTGACTCCAATGGTGTCCCAATTATGTGAAAGGACTGGCTTATTCTCCATCGGCCTGAGGTGCTGATTGTTTTGATGGCGTTCAAGGAGGTTGTGTGCAGGTCACCACTTCAATGGGTCTAGGAACTGTGGCTGTTTGATTCATAGATACCCCAATTGCTAACTGTTATGATTATGATTTCAAATACCTTCCCTGGAAGCTAACAGTACTGTAGACTGTGAGAGGCCACTATCCTCTGTGGACTAAGAATCTTGCCATTCTATCTCACACTTACGTACCACATACACAGAGTCACTATGTCAATATGATCTCCGACACAATAAGATAGGCAATGCCGAACCATCTAACACTACATACAGTCGGGCGAATATCGATTGCAGCAATAACACGGCTTGAGGCCTCCGCTACATTCGAGAACCTGCTTCAATTTGACGGCAGTATCGGTTGCGCTTCTAAGCAAACATCACCAACTGCCTCTCTCTCTCGGTTCAGATCTGCTTTCTCTCTGACTTTTTGCAGTCTTCCATGGGCTTCCAGGGTCCTTATCATGTCCTCAGCCCGGCGTCTCTAGCAGGGTCTTTTCTATTCCCTTGCCAATCTTCTCAACAACCAAGACGTCAGTTTGCCGATACTTGCCATCAACTTCTCAGTCTCCTACCTGATCTACCTCCCAACCCGTCCACTGCTTCTTCATCTACCGAACCTTCTCATCTCCCTCACGACCCCGTGCATCACTTTCACCACCACTTCTCCCACCGCAACCATGACCACACCCCCTAGCCCCGAAGACCCAAACCCACACCTAGATGCACCATACTCCCAATCCACCCCCGAAACAATACCCGACCAAGGCACCAACCTCCCACAACACGGCTTCATCCTGCCGGACGCCACCCACGTCCTCTCCAACGCCCTCTACTTCGACGACTGGCTCCACAAAGCCCTCCACACAACCCAACAGCACAACCTGCACCGCCTGCTGAACATCAATGTCCCACGCCCAGAGCTAAACGGCAGCATCCACGCCGTGCGCTGGCAGGACTACTCTCTCCAGCTAAAAGACTGGCTCGCGCGCAGCATGTCCTCTGAGCTCTACGACCAGATCGCATCATCGGGCCGCCCCATCCTTCTGGGCGATGAATTCATCGCCGCTGCGCGGTCGACTTTCCAGCGTCCCGACATGGCATCCACCACGAGCTTTGTCAATGCCGTTCTCTACGCGCGGCGTGCGGATTTTCCATCTGCGGCTCGATACCTTGTTGCCACCAGAGAGGCGTATCGGTTGTGTTTTCAGCGGAAAATCGATATCAAGCCCTATCTTGTGCTGTCGAGGGTGTGCAGTGAGCTGAGGGGTGAGATTCCGGATTTGGTGGATATGCAGATTGGGGCTGTGGAATCGAAGGGGGCCAATGTTTGGGAGGAGGTTAGTGTTAAGGATTTTATGGACAGTTGTGCGGTTATTCTGAGCCATTTGAAGTTTTTGGAGAAGGTTAGGCTGGTTATGAGTGATTTTGTGGAGGATGGCCAGATCTGACTCGGTAGGTAGGGGAGATGGGGGAAGCATGGAGGCATGGAGGGATTGCTTAGGATATGGAACAGATACTTTAAGTTGCAGCTATGGACAGTGAGAATTCTATGGATCGGAAGACTCCTTTCTCGTTAATCACCCAAAGACTCGCTGCCAGGTATGGTGCTGCGATACCTATACATCTGTGAAGATAGTTGGTCACCACGAACAAAATCTTATGTATGCTATGCCCTACAGCCTAGATACTATCCAAAGTAAACACCCAATGCAATGTAGATTGTACCATCCATTCCCAAAACACCCAAGACAACCAAACATGGGTATCACCGCAAAACACGAGACGCAAAAACCAAATGACCAGAACCTTACAGATGCTTCCGGACCCGTTTCCCCCTCCGGACAACCGCCATGCTAACAGCTTCCTCGCCCGTCATCCACGACGGCATGCGCTCGGGATCAACAATGCCCAACTCTGCAAGTCTGCGGATCCCGCTGATAACATCCGTCCCCGCGAAACTGAGTGAGACAGCTGGGGGGTCGAAGCTGATTGACCATCGTTATCGTCGCCATCGCCATCACCGTCTCCTTGCCCAGGTGTATCTAGAAGACGGATATCCAGACGATCCAACGGTGCCTGCGCCATAGATGACCCTGCCGTCCCGAAGCGGGAATGGATTGCGAGACGCCGTTTCTTGGATGACGGGGATAGAGGCGTGGAATTGTGATCGTCACCTGGGCGTTTAGTTTTCGAGTCTGGATGGGGCAGTCCCTCTGTGTTTCCTCGGTTCGCATTGTCTTCTGACGCCGCAAGAATTCCTCCTTGAATATACTCCTCCGGGGTGACCGTGTTGGCAGGACGGGGATCCAACGGACTCCCTTCAACCACCGCATCGGCGAAGATGCTAAACGAGCCATTTGCGGCGTTGGACCGGCCAGGACCACGGACCGCTAGCAGAGTCGGCAGATTCTTCGCGGCCAGCGATGTCGTCTTGAGGGTATATCGTTCTTGGGGGCGCGAGAGAGCTTTGGGGATCGCCTCGCGCACGAGTCGTTGGAGACTGCGGGAATCGGTCGCCACGGAGTGAGCGGTAGGAGTAGCGGCGGCCTTGGGGCCCGTGGATGCCGAAACGGACGTGTAGATGAAGGGACAGCTGTCCGGGAACGCGACATAGATGACTCGCGATGAGTCGGTGAAGATATCCGCTGTCTGGCGCGGAGATTGATAGGGCGAGTCCACGACAAATATCCGGAGGAATGTTAGGGGTAGGGTGGATGAGCGAGCGAGGTGGTAATGCGCTTTCACTAGAGGAGCAATCTCTCGCTGGAGAGCCCGCACGAAGGTTGCAGCTTGGATGCGCGGGACACTCGCCGACCAGTCCGTCGATGCTGAGTTGCTGGCAGACTGTTTCCGCCGTGGGTCGATGCGGTTGAGCTCCAGCGCGGTCCATCGCAGGCTGGCCGGGTGATCGTCCATGTAGCGCAGGTCTGCCATTGCCAGCTGTCGCAGAGTAATACCATGTCGCCAATCGCCTTCCACAATCCGCTCGAGGACTTCTCGCTTGCCGCCCTTGCGCTCCCGGAAGTCCTGGTATACCTGGCGAACCTCGTCGATTGTTTCTGCCGCGGGGTACGGAAGAATTTCCTCATCCTCGCCACTGTTGTCGTCGCGCTGTAGATATGGCGGAAAAGCGGCGACATGCCTATCTTCGAGCCACAGCTGGGTCAAGTCTAGTAGGGATTGGCGAGATAGTTTGCCGAGGGTCTTCACGAGAGAGGGAGTTGTCGAGGGAATGCGGAGGTTGTTTGGGAGACTGGCCGTTGTTGGGGCGCGCACCATTTTGGGACGCGCCATGTTGGGTGTATGGTGAGAGGAGACGGGGGTGTGATGTTTAGTATAAAGCGAATGAGAGGTGCGTCCTGTTGGCCGTGGATCTTGCTGCCAGTCCAGTTCGCGATGCTATCGGAAACATCAACAATAGGTCACGTGGTGATAAGAATACCCGTGATGTGCGATCACAGACTCTACAGCATGTGAGATCTGGAATCTCCGGACAGCGCTACTATTGCAGGCTTGATGACATGAATTAGCACTGGCCAGGGGCGAGAGCTGATAGCCAGCCCCAGCAGAAATGTTGAAGACTACGCCCATTCTACGGGAGCAGGAGTTGGTACCTGTCCTGCAGGAGTGGGAGGATACGCTAAGGGCAAACGGGGCAGTAGGTTGGAAGGACTGGTATGTGGATTTTGAGATGGTGAGAAACGTAGATAAGGTGTGGTCTTTGACTGAACTGTAACTACCACCAGCATCTTTTCATCCTTTAATGTTCAAGTATATGGGGGCGTGGGCTGGGGCTGGTGCTCCACGCTGATCGGTTTGATGCTGGTTGTTACGTTGCCGCTGATTGCCCTGGAATATGTATACGGGATGTCCTGGAGGCAACGAGAGATGAGCCGCGCATCTGCCGCTGACGCTCCGAATGATTACGCGCCGAGATCACACAGTATCGCAGGTAATCAGAAAGGACCTAATGTAAAAGCATTTGATCTGTTGTGAAAGCCTACAACATCTGCGACTCCACCACCCCGTGGCGAGGCTGCTCGCTAGCTGTCTGGTCGAGGTCTTCGCGGTCCTTGCAGGCCCAAGCTCAAACTGATCTTCCACTGCTCTACATTTACCACTCCTTCCCGCACACTACTGCCGGCGCACAGACACAGGGTCACAGTTGGACAACGGGATTAATAATATTCGGAACATCCTCGGCAGTGATAGGACGCCCAGGACGCCTCCAGGGCGCTGACAAATGGACCAACCAATCATCTGCCGAGGAGGGAGGGCATGCCGGAGCCGGGTTTTCAAAAGGCGCGCCTGTCGCTGGATTCCGGAGTGCACGGAAACGGTTTAGGGCGAGCGATTACCAATCTCCATTGGATGGGGAAACCCGCTCCGACCATCGGACTTGGACTGAATTTTCACAACGGCGACGACAGAGACGACAGAGGGGACAGAGGGTAGGTGAACAATGAAGAAATCATGAGAGAATCGTAAATATCACGACTCTTAGAGTAAGAATAAAATAATTCGTCCGAGTCCATTTGGAGTAGTTAAACTCTGGACTGTGAATTATTAATGCAGATCGAGATTACATGTAATAGTCATCATCCCTCGTCATCCGGGATCCCCCACCACGCCTCAAAGAAATCCCCCCATCGATTCTGTTCTCCTCTCCATCCACCATCACCCATCCATCCCCGACCACCACCGTCGATTCGACCTGACCATATCGTCTTGGTCATTCGCGATCTTACCAACCCATCCCACCCATCCTCCCGACGCATCCGGCGCGATCGAGTCACACCCGGCGCACACCCGGCCTCGAAATTAGCCGGAGACGCGAACCCTCATCTACAAAATCCACCCTTGGAACACCCTTCGTGGGCTCATTTACACAAAACTGTCACAATGGCCGGGTACAACGGGCGGCGGGCGCCCAACTTCTCGCAATACCTCGATGACTTGAACGCCATCCCCTCGCCCTACGACCAGGCGGTGCAACAGCAGCAGCAGCAGCAGAACTCCTTCAATGTCGACGAGGAACTCGCTCTCTTTACCAATGCCGAGTTCTTTGATTTTGATAAATTCGGGGGTCTGTCCCTGCCCACGTTCGACTCGGTGGATAACACCAAGACCAACGACCCAACATCGCATGAGGCGGACATGAAATTCCTCGATTTCCTGAATGGTGAGTCTTTGTTGGTTTCCTTCGGGTTTGGTTCTGTTCCTGGATTTCCCGGTCGCACGGGTTGGATATCCCACCTGCACGAGTCCTGCCCTTGATCACACCATTTTTGCCTTTCGGTTTTCGCCGCGCTCTCTGCGGCTATTGGAACCGGGCGTGCATGGGTACCTGGATCATCCTATTGGCTTTTTGGTCTTCTTGCTATTTCCCACCGTCTTGGCACCGGATGTCGTCTTTTCAAGACTCTTTGTGTCCATCACCGCGGAACAGCTTGGACCCTGGAGCAATGTAGGGTCCTGCATGACATGCACGTTGTGGCCTGTGTGCAACAATGGGCATTGGTCGTGGCAGGCGTGCGCGCTCTCCGCTATCACGCAATTTCACGTGATTCTCCATGCCCACCTACACACAATTAAAGAGATGGATAAATGCTAACATGGTTTGATAGATGGCTTGGGCAATATTCCTGACTATCCAACCGACTATAACACTATCAACCCCCAAACGGCGGTGCCTGCGTCAGACTCGTCTTTCTCGACTCCCCCCAATGGATCGGTGGCTGCGACCCAGGCTCCTCAGGCTCCTGCGCCTGTTGCTCCCGTAGCTGCGCCCACCCTGGCCCCAGCTCTTGCCCCAAACCCTTCGTCAACTACCGCTGCCGCTGCTGGGCCTAAACGCAAGCACACCCAAAAGTCGACGCAAGCCAGTGCAGAGGAAGCTGCCCTGATCGCCGCCGATGAGGACAAGCGTCGTCGGAACACAGCCGCCAGCGCCCGTTTCCGCGTGAAGAAGAAGATGCGCGAGGCAGCCCTGGAGCGCACCGTTAATGAGACGAACGAAAAGAACAGCCGCCTCGAGGCCCGTGTTGGTCAGCTGGAGCTGGAGAATAACTGGCTACGCGGCCTGATTATGGAAAAGAACGGCGATACCAAGCGCAACGAGGCAGCGGAGAAGAAGATCTCGGATATGTTCCAGCAGTTCCTGGCCTCGCGGAACTCAGAATCTTCCGAGTCGAAGCTCGGCGTTGGGACCACTGCGTGACCGCAGTAAAAGAAAGCAAAAAAACGAACAACAAAAGAAGAAAAAAAAAGAGGAACCGTCCCAACAATATTCTGATTGATTGCCCCGCTACATACTCGGTCCTATGCTGCCTTTAGATTTGTGATTATTGATCATTTGTCCATATTGTTCTTTTGTGTTAGCGATTCTTGGTGATCCGCAGCCGGAGAGTTACATAGTGAGGATGGCATCTGCAGGTTGGGGATGGCAGAGAGCCATGAGTGACGATTGTTCCAGCAGTAATTGAATATACACTGTCTTGAATCTGTCAACCATATGGTCAATCGTAGGACCAGCGTACTAGATCACTTAAAGCAGTGGTTATTCTTGTCCATGAACTACAGACCATTCCAAAAGCTCTTGGCACTCAACCTCGGCCCTGAAGGACACACCTCAATCTCCCCCACAGATATAGCAAGCATGCCCAACCAACCATGTCTTCCGCAATAACAACATACCGCTCCCTCCCAATTCTCTTAAGCTACATCACCATCTGCGCAACCCTCTCCCTCCACACCTGTCGAACCATCCACGCCCGCTACAAAACCCGCCAACCCCGCAATGACTGGTCCTCCTCCAACACCACCACCAACCCGCGCCGCAATTTCATGGTATTCGCCTCCCTAGCGGCCCTCAGCCTCGCCGCGACATGGTACTACATGTTTGCGTTCTTTGCGCACTCGTATCGCGCCTGGGCGGGGAGTCAACACTCTCAAACTCAGCAGCTGTTGCATGCTGCTGGTGGTAGTGGAGCACTGTCAATACCAACAATCTTCAAATTGGAGATGTGGTTACGGGACGCAAAACTCTTTCGCGAGGCGTGGGAGACGGTGATCGAGTCGCCAGCGCGGTTTTGGTGGAGTGGGCAGATCTTCCTTTGGGCTACGGGCTGGAGTCTATTTTTGGGGGTTATGGGTATGTCTTAACCTTCCAAGTTTCTCTTTTTGGATCTGTTAGATTGAGATTGTTTATATGGATTGGGAACTCACTGACTCACTCGCTGTTATATAGCTCGGAGACACCGCATCCCCCATGTCTGGATGTATATGGTCGTCGGGCAGATCGTGGCCATCTCTTTCGCGCAGAACTTGTTTTTCGCTACGATTCTGGTCTCTAGGAGGGGATTGTCTAGCCATGGCAATGGCACTCAACGTGGTAATGATGATAACTATGACAACGACAAGGACGATCACCATGTATGCGACTGGACGCCACCTCTCCTCCTGGAACTGATCCCCATCGCGACATCACTGCTCAGCACCGTCCTGGTGCCATCCACGGCACATACCAAGCATTTTATGCTAATCCTGCTCATTCCCCATCTTCTACTTTTCGTTCCTGCCATGCTCCGTCCCCGTCGCAGTCGCTCGTCTGGGGGTTCTGAGGGTAGTACTGCCCGCTTGCATGGCAGCGGTAGCGACAGCGTCGATGTCGATACTGCGACGAAGCGCTACGTTGTCTTCTTCCGCTGGATCTTTGCATCCAGTGTACTGGTGCAGGCTGTTTCTACTGTGGGGGTGGTGAGGGATGTGGTGGGGACCGGGACGAGGGCTGTTGATGGTGTTGCTTCGTGTGAGGCTGTTGTGCGGGCTTTGTTCCGTGCTGTATATGAGCATCCTGCTGTTAGCAGTGTAAGCTGGGATGTTATATTTTGTACTGTTGGTGCTGGGACGTGGTGTTTGGTGCATGGTGGAGATTTGTATAAAATGCTGGGTGGAAGGCAGAGTGTGAAGGCTAAGGGTGAGAAGGACGAGTGAGACATATAACTTGAATCGCATGGTGTATGTTCTGCACCATTAGTAGCATCAACATATATATATATATATATATACTTTTTTTTCAACATGGGCCAGTTCCAACGTTGGTGCTTCTAATGCCGTCTTGCAACAACAACAACCCCCCTAACAACACCACTCCTCGCCCACCACCCAAACACCGCCCTCGCAGCTCTGAACTTCCCCATCTTCATACCAAATGGCTTCCCCTCCTTTACCCTCGCATCCAAAAATGCAGCCAATCCCGCAAAAACATGCTTCGAAACATCGCGGATCTCAATGCTCCCCGCATCATAACGGGCCGCCACAAGAAGCCGCTCATACTCCGCTCTCGAAATAAAGTTCCCAAACGGCGACCCGGTGAACCAGCACACGAGTCGGAGGAACAGGTGGTCTCGCCAGGAGACGCTGTCTGCGAGGATGAGGTCGAAAGCCATTAGCGAGGCGTGCAGGGATTCGTGGGCGTGTTTGAGGAGAGGGAGGCGCGAGGGTTGGAAATGGTACATTGTGTCTAGGGCGAGGAGCCATGTTGTTTCTGTTTGTGCTTTTTCATTTTGGGAAGAGGGGAGAGATTGGTGGAGGTGGGTTGGCCAGGTACTAGGGTCTGCAGCGTCTGCACAGAATATCTCTGCTTTTGTCTTTTGCTTGAGGTCGATGTCTCTCTGCTGCGCGTCCTGGATCCGTTGCTGCGCAAGTGCAGCCTGCGCTGGCTCCAATGTGATGCCCACGTAGGAGTCGATCAGCGGCCGTTCCGGCGAGGACCGATGATTCTTCCCTCTGGCTCGCAGACTGGAAGGCATATGCACATCACGACTATCGTCGCCATCGGATTTCATGAGTTCCATCAGATATAGCGACTGATCACCACATCCACAACCCACATCCACGATCCTGACACCGTGGCTGTCGCTGCGATCTTCAGCCAACAATCCCGCGCTCAGCACCTGGTCCAGAAGCGCCTCACAAGCCTGCGGGAAATCTGCCGTATGCTATATTCGAATGTCAATATTCTGTATTCCATAATCAAACAAAAGGACTCACCTCCCAGTACCCCATATTCATCCACATGGTCTGCGGCGGCAGCCGCACATTGAGGACTGCATGGTCCAGCCCGTACACGTCGCGCGGCGGGGACAGGATCCGGCGGAGCCAGCCGAGCATAATATGTAATGGACTCGCTCTTGGTGACGAGTCCTGAACAACTGCTGTAGGGCAGAGAAGACCCTATGGGATGGGTAGAGTAGAGGGTTGTTGTTGGTGATCCCTGACGTGAGCGAGCTTCCCGCGCCAAGCCTTCTTGGTTATGGTGGAGGATGTATGCTGTCTGCGTTTCTTCCACACTAGGCTTTGATATGTTGAGGGATAATTATTCTCTTCGATCCTAATTGTACTTTGGTACTGGGAAAATGATAAGGGTTTATGGAGCCACAATTGGCGAGCGAGTACGGGCGGCTTGAGGACCGACATCAGGGATTTGAATACGGTAGACAGGATCGACTCATGTATAGTGGTAGATGTAAAGAAATTTCGTATTTTCAGATGACAGATATATTTGATCGTTCATCATGGCACAATGCAGGCCATATTATAACACTGATTTGGGTATATGAAGTGTTGTCAAGAAACCTCTCTCCTCCGCATATCGTTGCATTGGCATGGCCACTCATTCCTCCATCTGCCACGGTATACAAACCCCCAAGTCTTTCGCAATCCTCATCGCAGAGACAATGCACCCTTCCAGCAAAACCATGCCGTCCCAGCACCACCCACCGGCAAGGTAGACGCCGTCGTCGCCACTGCGCCAACTATGTAATGAGGAGGAACTTTTCTTCAGAGGATCCTGGAAGAGAGAATTGACGAGCATCCGGCTGTGGGGACTGCGCAGGACGCGCGTGAAGCGCGCAGAGCGGATCACCTTTGACTGATCGGGATGGAAAATGGGGTTTGTTGTCACGAAGATGGAGTTTGGTTGTTCGTGGACGGATTCGGTGGTGAGATGGGTGGAGAGGATGTGGATGCGCTGGGTTGTGCGGGTCTGAGTGGCAAGGCTCTTCTTCCCTAGCGATAACGAAGAGGAGGAGGCTGTTGCTTGCAGCATGGGTCTGATGCTCGATTCGTCTGTGTGCGCGACTGTTTCGACCGTTGTCGTTGGGATGCTGGATAATGGCTTGTTTAAGCGGGGGAATAGTGAGGCAGCGATATCAGGTGAAACGGCCAGCACGATGAGGTCGAAATGTTCAGATTCGCTGCGGCCATCGGGAGTACGGTACTGGATGTCCACACCGGTATCTTGCGGAGAGACGCTCGTCAGCTCCACGCCCAGCCGCACATCCAACCCCTGGAGGAGCATGTCCTGGACAGAGCGCACACCCCCGGAGACGACGTAATGCTGCTGGTAGTGCGTGCGACGCTTATATTCCAGCACATCCGAAGCCGGGAACTGCAGGAGCTCCTCATGAGAACAGGTGCAAACACTCGAGATGAGCGGGAGCAAGTAATCGGCAACATAGGACCGCGGCAGGTGAATGCGCCGCAGATACGCATCGAGCGACTCGCCGGCCGAACCAGACTGCAAGTCCTCGGCGACGGGCGTTACGAGGAAGACGCAGATGGTGAACCAGAAGTAGCACAGCATGGCAAACGCCGCCTCGAGCATCCACTGCACTAGATCCTGTGTGCGCGGGATGGGTGGGAGCCGGTGGAAATTGGAGGCGTAGATCATCCGTGGACTGGGGATGGATTCGCGCTGCGGACGCCGAGGCAGGCGAGTGAAGCTGAAGAGAAATGGCTGCGAATGGTACTTTACTCCCAAGTAGTCGTACATGCGAATTAGATGGTGATAGAAGCCACCGGCGAAGGCGCGCATGGGCACGTCGGCCCAGATGGGCTCATCGTTTTCATCTGAGGGGAGGGCGATTGACTCCGCACTCAGCGAGATTTGTTTTCTCTGCGTTGCAGTGTTAGTGACGCCCCGTCCGCTCTCTGTGGGAGTGACTCGACTCACCTTCTCCAGCACCGTCACTCGAAATCGCTCCTGACGATCCTGGTGCAGCAAATGCGCAGTCACCAAGCCTGCCATGCCAGATCCCACGACCGCGACGGTTCTCGGCTGTGACAGGGCCTTGTCCATGACGGCGCTCCCCCCGGTCCCAGAGGATCGATTCTGTCAATAGAAAATGGGGATCTGTATGTAGCTGGAAATTACATCAAGAAAACGAAACCCCGTCCGTCTCTTTCCCGGATTATGTAGGAACCGAGGCGGGGCACGGGTGTGGTGGCTGGGCTCAGGGCAAAAAGCATGGCGGAGACTTGAGTTCTGCAGGAGATCGGGTGTACCGATACCTCGGGTTCGCCTGGACAACACAGTATTTCTCGGTACCGGTACCTGGCAGATCAAGCTTGCTCGCCCGCGCACTACATCATCGGGTGGCGATCATCGAGCTGCGGTTTGATTCAGGGTTGGGGTGTTTGTTCTTGGGAATTGACTCTCGTTATCGGGCAATTAGCAACAAGTAACACATTTGAGGATCCGTTTGTGGCCAGAGGCGAGAGAGTCAGGTCTAGCAGGATCACATGGGTCCGAGCTATGAGAAAACTCGGATTAACCGTGTATGCTGCGTGCTGATGGACTGACGGGCATGAATACATGATAGAAAATACCAATTGAATGTTATTAATGTAAAAAGAATCACCCATACCGCAGAGGGTATCAAAAGCATCCATCCAAGAAACGCCCAGTGATCCAACCATCAACACCGTAAAGAATATCCGCCGGTCCCTCCGATTCCATGCATCAAGTCATTAGAGAGTTCATTCTAAGCCGTTTTGGCTCAATTCCTTGCCTCCCATCACCAAAGTCTAGGCAATGCGCGAAGTCCATGCTAGTTCTGCTTCGCCTCATCCTGAGAGTCGTCGTGTGTCTTGGTCACCGCTTTTTCGTCATCCTTTCGCTCGACAGGCCTCTCGCCATCATTCTCGTCACCAGTGATCTCTCCCCAGCCGGAACTCCGGCGACTGATGCGGCCAGGCGCCATGGCGAGCGGGCTGCCAACACCACCGGAAATGCTGGCTGCCGTGCTGTCATTGCGACTGTGCGACTGCACCCCACTGCGAATGCTGGCTGCATCGCCTGCTCCGGGGCTCGGCCGGGCTGTGTGGAGGCTGGTTCGCTCCCCGGTAGCGCTACCAAGCGGCGGGGCCCCTGAGGACGAGTAGACACTGATTCGCTCGGCACTGGCAAGGCCGGCCATGCTGGGTCGGCTGAGAACGCCCGGTGCATTGAAAGCGGATGTGTTGGATGGCTCGGCCGGGTTTCCACTGAGAATGCTCAGAGGCAAGCTCTCGCGGCTGCCGCCGAAAATCGACGACGGCGCTAGCGCGCGAACGGATGCGTTGGTGTCCAGGGAGTTCCGACGACGGCGCTTGGAGGAGCTGGCCAGGGTAAGAATGGATGCGTTGTCGGTCAGGACGTTGTTGGCCGTAGCAGTACTGTATGTCATCGAGTTGCCCTGGGGCAGGAGGTGCGGGGGGACGGCGGTTGCGGTCGTGGATGACGAAGGGAACTGGTGGGAGAATTGCACCTGCTGATGGGTTGAGCTCTGGGTGGAGCTACCGTGGCCGTGGCCATGTTGTGTGTTTTGCGCGGGGTACAGTTGGGTTGAGGGTGCTGCCGACTGTACAGTCGTCAGGGTCGTCGTCAAAGATCGCACCGATGGAGCCGGCGACGAAAAAGTGCTGCCCTCTCCCCCTCCATGGGAACTAAGTCCTCCGCCACCTGTTGCCAATGTTCCAGCCTTGTTGGAATATGCCGCCTCCGAGGCTGCTGTGTCACCGTTCGTGGAAAGAGTGGGCGCATTCGACTTTGCGCTCGCGGCGGGGGCCGCATGCTCATAGCCCGAATAGACAAGCGAAGGGTCGCTTCGTGAGCGAGATCCCCGGAAGTCACGCTCTCCGAGCTCTGAATACGAGCCATTTGGATTATTCTGTGCAGCCGGGCGGCTGATGGTTCCGGATAGAGGATACGGGTTGTTGGATTGGGCGCCGTTCTTCTTTCCTTTGGTGCTGATGTGCCGTCTATTCGTCCAGCGATTCGTGCTCGACTCCGAGGAGCTCTTCAAGCTGGCAAGGCGCTTCATCCAGCTAGAAAAAGGGTGGCGGCGGCCATTCCGGTCTTGTTATGCACTGGTCAGCTCCAAGGGGACATCTGGCGTTCACGCGGGTGTCTCACCGTGTGCCCTTGCAGGGCCTTCGGCTGTAGCCATCTAAAGGAATACCTCTTAACTTGAAAACAGACTCCAATCACCAGGTGTCTCCGTGGTGAGGACAAGGGAAGACGACAAAGGGAGATATGGACCGCCGAGGCACCAGGAAGCTTGTCCGGAGCTGGGTTAATCCGGTCCTATAACCGCTAGTCCTCTTTTGGTCTTGCATCATCACCTTCCTTCTGGCAAGGTCAACATGCCATTCTTCGGCTGATGCTCTCCTGCGTATTATTCCATCTCAACTTGGTTCCATCATGAAACAGTGGCAAAGTATCAGCAGTCACCGGGATCTCAATTTGGGAGCTATGCGTGGCCATTCTCCATCCTGACATGTCTCGGTCTGATTTCGCCATACGGCTGCTTCCTCCAGACGTGGTGGCAAAGATTAAGTCTTCGACCTCCATTACACACCTGAATGATGTGGTGTTGGAGCTTGTCAAAAATGCCTTGGATGCCAACGCCCATACCGTCTTTGTCACCGTCGACGTTACGCGCGGAAGCTGTATAGTCGAGGACGACGGAGATGGAATTCCGCCGACAGAATTCGAGTCCTCGGGGGGTCTTGGAAAGGCGCACCGTACGTTAATTTGTGAAGAAACTCAAGATGTGATTACTTATATGTGGCACAGATACATCGAAACTGGAGCAGACGGGCGCATATGGCCATCGAGGTCTCTTCTTGGCCTCATTGGCCGCTTTGTCTTTGCTCACCATCACGTCCCATCATGCCAGGTACCGGAGCGCAAATTCCCTTCTACTCCATCACTCGATGCCAGTAGCTCGGTTGATACCGGCGCCTGTGCATCAAGAGCTTCGGTTCAGGGATCACGGCACCTGTGTCACGGTGAACGATCTGTTTGGGAATATGCCAGTTCGCGTCAAGAGTCGGGCCTTGGCTCTTCAAAGGCCCGACGAGCTCGAAAGAGAATGGGACAGTCTCAGACACGTGCTTGTTGCTCTTATGGTGGCTAATCCTCAACTTTCAAAGTTGGTGCTGCATGATGCAGCAAGGAACAGGAAGACCTTAATCCGTCTTGGAACCCGCATCCCCGGAGACATAAATGCCAGTCAAGTGGAAGACGAATTGGATCTCAAGCGGATCGGTTCCATTCTTGCGCAGTCTGGAATAGTCTCTTCTCGCAACATGGACTCATGGCATACACTTTCAGCCTCGCTTCCCGATCTTACAGTTCGTGCCGCAGTTTCTCTCATTCCCAGCCCAAGCAAGAAGATCCAGTTCATCTCATTGGGAACTGAACCGGTGTTTTCGCGAAATGGCTCGAATGTTCTCTACAGCGAAGTTAATCGCTTGTTTGCTCAATCGGACTTTGGCAACGAGGCCATACTTAATTATTCATCAGCGCTATATGCCTCTCCTCTGCCAGAACGACCTGATACGGGCAACTCCAGCCTCAAAGGTGGAACAAGGTCCGTCAACAGGTGGCCAATGTTTTATATACGCATCGACACGAGTATTGCTCGGCGATTATGCGACGATGGAAATGAGATCCTTCCCGAATCTGACAAGTCCCTTCAACGAATAACAGATGTGATGGATGTGATGATTTCTGAGTTTCTCAAGCAACATGGTCTTCGTCCGCGCACGGTCAAGCGACGGGGACAGGCGTTAGGTCGAACCCAGCAGGTCGATTCCGCCGGCCAGAAAATCGATAGTCAACCAATGGAGTTTGCAGAACAGAATGGCTTCATTTCGTCCACGGAAGAGGCTTTCTCAAGTCGTTTAAAGCTCCCACCTTTCCGGAGACCAAGCCCTGTCCATCCAGGACAAGGTTTCAATAGCTGGTCCAGAGTGAAAGCAGCGAAGAATCCTATGGCCAGCACCGTGCTTCGGCCTCGAAATGAAGACCCTCAGGTCGGAAAATCATCGACCGAAGAGGAACTCTTGCTGTCAACGGATGTTCAGGAACATAGACACGCACCGATAGGAGAATCCTCTTGCATGGATTCCGATGCCTTCATCACTTGGGCCGATCCATCTACAGGGAGGGCTCACCTTATCAACTCTCGGACAGGACAAACGATGATTCGCCGAAAATCCATTGCTGCCCTGAGACCGAGGTCCGCTGGAGTCATCACCGGTGGCTTGCGCAGGCCACAGTCTACCCCTGTCTCCTCACAAAGCGTGTGGGTGGACAATCTTCTAGAGAAATGGGACAATCCTGTTTTCGGGAGAACCGAGAAACCTATTTCAAGGATGGACACGGAGTTCAACCACAGACCGCCTGCACATTTCTCTTCTCATGACTGTTTCAAGAGCATTGGCTCGCTGGATACCGCTCAGGTCTCAAAATTCCGAGGCAAGCTTGAACGACGGGGTCTGGAGAAGGCAGAGGTGATTTCGCAAGTGGACTGCAAGTTCATCTTGGTCAAAGTGAACATCCATGACACAAACGACCATGATGCATTGGTGCTGATCGATCAGCATGCGGCTGATGAGCGGTGTCGGGTCGAGCAGTTATTTAGAGAGTTCTTTGTTCCTGCTCCTCAGGTTGAGACCATTGGCCACAGTTTCCGAGTGCGAACGGTTGATATCGACACCATCTCATTCGACGTCTCGCCAACCGAAGGCAACCTGTTCCACAAGTACAGCGAGTATTTTTCGCAATGGGGTGTTCACTACAACACCGAGCTAAAATCGGGCTCATCCACCGCTGTCCTGGTGACTTCACTCCCATCCCTCATCGCCGAACGCTGCCGGCTTGAACCGAAGTTGGTGATCGATATGATTCGCCGAGAGATTTGGACTCGCGAAGACGACAAAAGGCCATGGGGGCCAGCGAGAAATTCATCCAGATTCAATTCTCAAGATTGGTCTCTGCCGGAGGAAGAAGAGCCTCCACACTCCAAAGCTGCCGGTTCACTAAATGGCACCTCTTCATGGGTGCAGCAACTAAGCGGCTGCCCCCAGAGCATTATCGACCTCCTCAACTCCCGCGCCTGCCGCAGCGCGGTCATGTTCAACGACACTCTGAGTATGGAAGAGTGTCAAACCTTGGTCTCACGACTGGCCCGCTGTGTGTTTCCGTTCCAGTGTGCTCACGGACGGCCTTCCATGGTCCCGATCTTGGATTTGCGGTCTTTGGCCGAAATGGCTGGCTCTGCTCGCCTGGATTTGGAGAAGGGCATGGCATCCGATTATGATCATAGTGGGGGGTTGGGTTTTTGGAGGCTTTTCAGTCGCGTTACTCAACTGATAATGTACTTACGGGCAGAGGGAAATAGCTGGCGATGACTGGCCTTGGACTTGTAGTATAGAAGTTGGACTTTGTATATTACCAGTTGATTGTTAATTCAAGCAAACATGGCATAATTTACTTGCACTCATAGACTGGTTGCTTTCTTGAACTATTCGATCCGGAGCGAGCCGACCCCCGCTTAACAATGCCCTATCCATGGGGCACTTCCAAATTACAAGATTGACAAGCAGCAACCGAATAACCGAACAGAAACACAAATTCAAATCAATACCGCCTTCCGTTACGCAAGAGTACATACATCTTAAAATTCTATTTTCGGCAACCAACTAGTCTAGAAACATGAGTAAGCGTACATCCCTTGCTTGCATCCCGACAAACGGAAAGATCGAACATGACATGCGTCAGCACATGAAATAGTGAGCCAAGAGGGTTCTATTCTATGCAAGGATCACCAACTATCGGCGGGTGAATTTTCCTCAAAACAAGGATCTGGAGGGGCAGCCGCGTGTCGTGCGCAGTGCGGCGATGACGCCGGGGCAACTTATGTACTACTAGTAGCATGCCAGACCGGCTTGGTGGATACGGTGACACAATTGTCCGCCCAGCCAGCCCGTATGATCAGTCAAGTCTGGACAAACGCACAGTGCATCAAACTACAGGATAGGAAGAAGGAAGGGGGAAAGAGACTGGTGTGTAAACTCTGATTTCGATTTGATCAGATTCGGAAATCGGCGGCTATGATGATGGCAGCGCTGGTGGTGGGCCTATGTACAGAAAACCCAATAGCGCAATCCATCCTTTCTTTCCAAGGACCGACCAAGCAAAACAAGGGAAAGCAAAAAGGAAGTAAAGGGGAGAGTTCAGTATCACAGACGATCCATCCAAAAGTTAACTCAGCTGAAACAACAGAACAAAAACACAAGGCGCTGAGGCTGTAAGGAGACCAAGTAAAAGTAAAAGCTTTTGCATTCCTGGCAGCTTTTAAGTGTGTTCTTGTACAGAAGCCGTGAGGCGAAACCCTTTCTAAGGATTTTCGAGACAGAGAGTAAAGTAAAAAAAAAAAAAGGAAAGAAAAAGCCCTGTGTGGTACTCCAGATTGTTCCAAAAGAATCCCCGGACCGTTTTGTAAATCCTTTTTTGGTCACATCCTCGATGAAACCATGACCCAAAAAAAAACAGAAATTCACGAGCGCCGCCCAAATATAGGGAATAAGGTATTCACAGAACATAGGACAAGATTTGGAAGGAAAACGATGCAGCCAGCATTGTAGGACAGAGGTCGGAATGATTCGCAGAAAGCAATAAAAAACTCCGGCGAACCAGGGTAAAGTACAGAACAAAGGTCATTAGTCATTATGAGGTTGTGTATAGACGAGATGTGTGGGATGAAGATGAAGGAGGAAGAGACATCAGCCATGTGAGGCGACCGACTTCGCTTTGGACTGATTTGTCCATGACAGGAAGTCGAACTTGTCCTTGGTATTGTCACGCAGGGACGGATTGGACTCGGCGGTGTTCAGGTTGGTAGCACTGCGACTAGCCTCGCGGGGCTCCAGGACCAGCGAGCGACGGTAGAAGGTCTGCAGGCTGGACTCGCCGTTGGAACGGACGCGCACCAGCTCGTTGTGCATCCAGGTCTGCAGCTCAGGGACCTCAGTCAGGCGATAGGGGATCTGAAAGCGCTGCAATTCGCTGATGATACGGGCTGTCTTCATGTGCTTGTCGAAGTTGATCACGGCCATCTCGCCAACATCGGTGGGGAGAGTGCGCAGCGACTGGTTGCCGTGATCCACGAAGGTCAGGTCGGTGAGGTAGGTGCCCACAAAGGGCAGACAGGGAGGAACATGGTTTTGCAAGCGCTGGCGTAGCACGGCGTAGTTGCGAGACACATCGACAATGCCGCGGAGGTGCTCCAGGGTAGTCTTGGTCTTCTGGGAGACGACTTCCCACGTCCTCTTGAGACGCGAGATCATTGACGAGTTGATCGAGCAGATGATCGCCATCAGCGAGTCGTAGTTGTTCAGCTCCAGGCACTTGTTGGCGATCTTAACCCAATGCTTGATGATCTGCGCTCGCTTCTTGGGCTCTTCAAGATGCAGGATGGAGTCCACAACCAAGTGGGCCAGGTCCGTCGACAGGGTGGACATGGCGCGAACATTGACCGCCAACGAGCCGGACTTTCTTGTCCATTCCGTGTCGAGGAGCTCCTCGGGGAGAATGGAGCAAAAGATGCGCGACTCCATGATGGTGAACTGACGGGCCAGCTCCAATGGGTCGAAATCCAAGATGGTGATCGAGGCTTCCCCGTTCTTCCATTGCTTAAGCAGGCTTGTCTCCTTCTTACCCAGGACTGCGGGTGGGAGAGGAGTATCAGGATGCACGTATAGAGCGGTGGCCGTGTTTGTCTTGCCCATGGACGAGATCAAGCGCGGCACCACCGGCCCTAGAACGGCCGACACCTTATCAGCCAGTTCCAGAAGACGCCTTCCAGCCGTAGGCAGCTCTTTGATCAGCCGGGTCGCGGCGAAGCCGACAATGTAGTCCAGCGCCACATTGTCACGGTCGTGACGCCAATGCGACTCCAGCCAGCCCTTGAAGATGTTGTACACGCGCAGCCGGACTGGTCCCGCCGCGTGAGGCGTATCTCCAATGTAGTCGAACCGTTCACCCAGCGCCTCGGCGAACTCGAGCGGCGTGGCGAACAGACGGAACGTAAGATAGAAAGTCGAGACGAACATCGCATCGGGAGTGGACTGGTGCGCGGTGAGTTTCTCAATCAGAGCCCGCAAGCTACCACCCATGACTTGGCCCTCCTTGTATATCAACTCATGCGCGTATGTCTTCTCAAGGATGTTGGCCTCGGTCTCCTCATTCTCCTCAGCCAAGGTCGAGTGGCTCACGCTCTCCTTCAGGGACGGCCCTTGGTAGCTATTGCTCATGTCGGGCGAAGTCGCGCGAGTCGAAGTCTGAGAAACACCGCTCATTTCGGAGTCGCGGGCATGGCTGTTGTAGGTGAAGCTGCTACCCGTGCTTGTGACACCGCGGCCGAAGGATTCACTCATGTCCGACTTGGGGTGGCTGGTGCGATAGGTGTTGTCCTGGGAAGAGAAAGAGGTTTTCTCCAAGTGGGTAGGGAGAGTGGCCGAGTTGGGGAATGAGGACAAGGCAGAGAGATTTTTAGGGCTTGCAGATGGGAACTGAGAGTGGAAGGATGAGGGAGTTGTGGCGTCGGTCAAGCCAGGGGTGGAAGGGGAATAGGCCGTGTTTGGAATCTGCAGAGGTGGAGGAGGTAGGCGCAGAGACAGTTCCTGCGGTTTGTTTTGCTCCACGACCTGGATGCCAGCAGGCGCCTCTGCCGGCGATTCATCGGTCGGTTCGAGTTCAAGGTCACCGATCTGCTCCAGCACCAGGCGAGCCTTGGCCAGACAGTTGCCAGCTGCTCGCACACAGTCCGTCGCAGCGTCGACGAGGCGTCTGCCTTCGTCGGGCAAGAACACTATGTCATCATCCGGTGAGTTGGCTGGTCGAAAGGCTTCGCGCGCCGCCTGGACCAGCTCGGACAGCTTCTCGTACATTGCGTCGCGCGCCTGTTCGAGGAAAGCGCTACGCTGGGTGTCGTGTTCGCACACGGCTTCGACGACATTCAACAGTCCTCGGCAGGATTGCACGGCCTGCTGAGTGGTAAGAACCAGCTCCGTGGACGAGCGAGACTGCATGTGCAGACCAATGAAGGATCCCAGCACGCCCAGGAAAGCATCATAAGTTGTGGTTAAACGCTCGGAGGCGAGGTTCTGAGTGCGGATAGCAGCAGAAGGACCGGTACATGATATCCGGTGAGAGACGGAGATGCGCTTGGTTGTGATGGAGACAGGTCGAGGATGGTTTTCGATCATCTCAGTGCGCATCGATGCGCGGCTGACATCCATACGACTGCGGCTCAGCTGTCGTGGTTCATGCTGCTCGGCGCCGACCTCAGAGACAGGCGCGATGTCTGGCAGGGTGAATGTCTCGGAGGCAGGTGTCGGGGGCATTGAAGACAGGCTCTGGGTCTCGCTGGTTGACTGTTCCAGTTCGGCGATGGTCCGGCTCAATCCCACTTCCTCGTTCCAGACGTCAAGGAAACGGACACCACGGGTAACGATCTTGAATGCCTTGAGCAGCATCTCGTCCAGCATGCCCTCTACCTCATCTTCTGACGGGGTGCCGTTGGCAAGTTCCTGGAATTTCTTGTGGCTCTTGACCAAGGCCGAAAGATCCGACAGCAAAGCCTTGCGAATCCTGCGCAACCCATCATACCGCTTGACCAAGGGCGACTCCCGAGTTAGACATTCTGATTTTTCCTTTAAAAGGTAAGTTAGCGGCTATGATTCGTCTTTCCTCCCCAAGTGGCTTACCAGGAGAAACCTAACGCCGGCGATTGGGCCTCTCATAAGATCTTGATTGCCAAAATCTTTGAGTGATGACCCGCATCCTCCGCGAATGATATCCCAGAAATCCGTCAGAGCCTTAAGTAAGGGCCGCATAGGCAATTGGTCGTATGCCTCACAATAGTTCGTAGGCAGCCAGCCTCGATTGCCAGAGTCCAATAATGTCCCGTCGGCCCAGCCGTTGGTGTGAACAGAGTGGACCAGGATGATATCTCCCTGGTCCAAGGGCAAGGTGACAGTTGAAGGCGAAACATTTCCGGCTGGGTGAAATGGATAGAAAGCGCGAAGGTAGTTGTGAAAGACAGACCGTGGCGTCTCAGCCTGATCTCGATCCATGGTGGGTTCCTTCGTTTGTGGCGTCAACGGCGGGGTGATCTGAGACTGGCCGTTGTTGCAATAGAAGCGATTTTGACTAAATGTCGTGTGGTGCTCCGGGGAGTTGTTGGTCACCACTGTGATGTTGGAGTTCGGTTTCGTGATCTTTAACGGGGCGATGTTAGGCCTCATCGATTCCATCTCTCGCCAGTGGCGTTCTGATCTGGGTTCAATATCCGCTTGAGGTCGTTGACCGAGGCGTTTAGAATCTGGTAGGTCCAGATGACATGCTT